CTTCGGCAGCAGGTTTTAACTGCTGCAAAGTCATTTCGCATTAAGGATTTATACTTTACAACAAGACAGTCTTTTAATATACTCGTTGATAAATGTATATTTTTAAAATCGGTTTAATTGGTTTTTCAAGAACAAAACTATGTGTAAACTGTTTGTCAAAACAAGATTGCAAATTTTAATTTAAAAAACACAAGCTAAAGTACATTATTCATTGTACAATTACCATTTTTTATAAAATAGTTACAATAGTTTATAAAATAAAGTGTACATTTAAGTTTTTTGAACAAAGAAATCATTTTGATGGAGATTAATTAAATCAGTTACACATAATTATTAATGAATTTCAATTTCTGTTGCTTCTGTTGACAAGATAATTTTCTTATTTATTCTTCTTTATTTTTTCATGTAAAAATTTATTATTTTATAGCGGAATGAACATTAGGTACCACAAAAATAGTTATTTTTCCCACTTTTAAGGCAAATTTTCCAATCTTTTTGGCGGACAAGTATATTATTGTGTTATACATTTCAATTATTAGTGAAAAAAATCAAAACCAGATTGCTGGTTATCACCAACCATGTTGTCATTAAGTCGACATCTTCGGGGCGTCGGACTGCAAAAACTTCTCAAGAATTTTGTCGGGCAATAAGATACTTTCATTTCAAATCTTATTACCAAACCCTCCCAGAAAAATCAGCCTGCTGGTTGTCACCAACCATAATGTTACCAAATCGACATATTTGGGGTGGGGGACAAACTCAAAATACCCAACAAATTTTTTGCGGGGATTTAAAAAAATATTTCTTTCATTCAAACTTAAAAAAAAAGTGCTGATCATAACATTCCATGTTTATGCCAGATCGACATGTTTTTCTGAAAATCACGGGAAAACTTACCACTGTTGAATTTTCCTCGTAGTCAAATCTTGGGAGACTCGTCGAACTTTAGCTGCACGCAAAGTTACAGCTTGCTGGTAATCAATTTTTTCTTTGTACGTGGGCCCGTGGACTATCAGTTAAATCGCAAATAATTTTATTCTCGTCATCGTTATTCCCGTTTATAAACCGGCGAGAACGTTACTTTTTGGAATATTTAACATAACTTCTTCGTGAATAGATAACATGTGGTTTTTAATTTCGCGCACGACCCTACTGCATTTTTGATTGCGACGTTGCCCTTTTAAGGGGTACGGAGGTACGTTTAAAGTCTAACGAGAGTTTCTGTAGATTTGCTAGTGATTAAAGTAGTAAGCCTTTAGATTTGGCAACGTTGCACTTGGCTGGCTTTGTTTGGATGCCTAAGCTTGAAAAATACATCGTATGTCACACCTGCGAATTTCAAATAATACGCTACTTCGAGAACTGCGGCGTTGCCGTTGCCGTTGCCGCTATCACGCATATGGAGGTTAAGTTAGTCAATGACAGCAGTTTGAAGGAGAATTATTATAAATTATGTATCTTACATTTTTTTTTTAATTCTGTATTTACTAGGATCAGGTTTCCTCTCTACCTTGCTTTTATTCGATTTTTGGACAAACCACTTTATTTTCGGGTTCCAACTTTGCAAAGACATTTACATCAAGGCATACGACAACTTCTTTGGGTTTTTCTCTCGGAACTTCTTTTGAGTAACTTCCAAGAATGTTCGGATTAAGTTCTACGACGGCTGTAGGATATCCCCTTCCCTCTGAGATCACTACAACTTTAATATTTTCCAATGTAGCTAAACTTGGAATTTCTTCTTTCGAAAGGGAACAAAATTGTTCAGCAGGTTGCACAAAAATATACAGGGTGTTCCTTTAAAAAAAATAAGTTAAGATGGTTTAAACTTGACTAAATTCGGCATTACATTTCTACCACCCTGTATGAAATTAAGTCATTTTGAAAATATGACAGGGAAGCTTAGGGTTTTAGTTATGTCCCTATAAATTTTGTCGTTCTAACTTGATTATTGAAAAATACACATCTTTTTTAATTAGGCAGTTGTGCAGTGAATACAGTACCAGATTAGACAATGGGAGGTTAAAATTTTTACTGTGGCCTCGACTTTTAAATTTAACCAAAAGCGTTACAGAAAAGACCCGATAAAAGCTTTTGAGAGCTAAAACTGCGCCATATCTGGAATGCCCGCAAAAGTTTTTACTAAAAGGCAGTTTTTTTTTTAATTTGTTTGAATTAGCTTTAAAAAAGAGCAAAATTGATAAGATTATTTAAAAATTTTATTCTCGTTCGAACGGTATCAGGGTTCCCTATACCTATCTCTTCTAGTTTTTAAGATATCTACTATTTTTTGTGTAATCACCTAAAATCATGTAATTTCTTACGAGGATAGCTGTGCAATTTTTAGCAAAACTCCAAAACAAAAAATAAACTGTCAATTTGTTCTTAGTGTCTTGCAGTGACAGTTTAATTTAGTGTTTATAAGAAATGGAAAACAATATATATTCAAATGCTGATATTTTAAATTTATTATTCATTCACGTACGTTGCAATGGGATTATAACCAGAACATGTACAGTTTTTAATGGGACATATCCAAATTTGCCACCAATGAGCAGAAAAAGGTTAAGGAAGAATTTTAGCAAATCAACTAGAGTATGGTTGAATTTGTGTAGAATGAATTTTACCAAAACCAATAACTTAGAGTAACGATAATGTAATAAATGTGCTAGTCTATTTTAATGTTCATCCAGAATCCTCAACTCGTGCCGCAGAGTATGATTTAGGCATTTCACGAGCGTCCATTCACAGGATGCTAAGAACTAATGATATACATCCATACAAATTTAAGCTACTTTCTGCTCTTCGTCCGGGTGACGCCGTGCAACGTGTACAATTTTGTGAAATGATGTTAGTGCGATACTAAGAAGATCCACAATTTTTGCAACATATTATATGGACAAACGAGTCAAAATTTACGAGAGAAGGTATTTTTAATAGACATACTACTCATTTGTGGTCATCTGAAAATCCTCATGTTATCCGGGAAAGAAACTTTCAAAATAAAATTAGCGCAAATGTTTTTTGTCTAATTAAAGATAACCAAATTTTTTACCATATCTACGAAGAAAATTTAAATGCCGATAGATATCTCAATACTTTGCAAACGGTTGTGGCAGATTTTCTAGATGATATACCTTTAGACCAACTAAGGAAGTGTTGGTATCAATTAGACGGGGCTCCACCTCACTGTCACAATCAAATCGATCAACAGCTGACTGAAATGTTTGAAGATAGATGGATGAGACGCCTAGGACCGTGGAATTGGACAGTAAGGTCTCCCGACCTCACTCCATTAGATTTTTATGTTTGAGGAGTAATAAAGCAAAAAGTTTATTCTACACCCGTTGCTTCAAAAGAGAATTTGATTCTCTTGAAATTTGATTTGAAATTGTTACATTTAGAAAGAGTTGTTATTTACATAAATTTAACATTTTTTACTTGATTTATTTATTATTAAGTAATGTTAGTACATAGATATGTTATTAATTGTAACTAAAACTAATTTATGTTTTAAAATAATTATTTTTGCAGTATCAAAAAAGCCTAGGTACATAATAAAAAATAAATAAAAATACAAATTTCACTGATACGTAATTTTGATTGAAATTGATACATAATTTTAATAAATTTGTAAATTTTTATGTAGAAGAATTTTATTGTTGGCCACTGTCCTGGGAAATAATAAAAAATAAGACAAATCTACGTTTGTAAAAACAAAATATTAAAAAAAAGTAAATAAAATACAGTCTTATCTGAATCGGTAGATGGATTAAAACAATTTTGTAACTACTAGATTATTTCACCTTTCACCTAAAAATGGTCAAAGCAATTCGCGTTATCACAGAATATAAAATATATTTAATTCTGTAGCGTTATGTAAATTCTAAAATATACAACTCGACCAAGATAAAATTATCTTATCTAACTTGCCGATAAGCAGTTCTTTATTATTTTAGACAATGGAAAGTGGAAAGGTAATTTATCTTATCTGATTACGACTATTCCAACGAATACACTTATTTAAAAATATTGATTTCGTTTCGCAAAAAATAAAATACGTGCTTTACAAACAATTAAATAAATTAGAATCGAATATGTTTAAACTAAATTATAGTTAGGTACTTATTTTCATACAATGTCCAGAGCAAAAGTAAAATATATTTTTTTTTCAGTTAAATATATTCTTTTTCCTCGGATTTTTCCTCGACTGGGACAGTTAGTTTTTGTCCAAGTCCCTTGGCGTTATGTTCGTGAACAAATATATAAAATCCCTGAAATGAAAGTCTCGAAATTATAGTGGTTTGTACCTGATATTAAAATGTATTCAATCCAGGGATTTTGTCTGAAATTACAGTACCAGATCCTTATTTTTTAAATTGGTAGGCAGCGCCATCTCTACGTTAGGACAATCATCACCTAAGTCACAGGTATTACAGTGATCTTCGAGCATATACCACTGGAGGTAGCAGCCATTGCGAACCGTGTGGCTGAGAGTGACAGACAGTATCTCAGTTAATGCTGTCTCATTCTGGCACGCACGCCCTGCGGGAGCCAATAAGCGCGAGCATTCGCTTCTACCCAATCGCGTGCGTGCTAGAGTGAAACTGCATATACTGAGAAACTGTCTGTCTCTCTCACACACTCAGCCACACTTTGCGCAATAGCATGCTACCTCCAGTAGTATATGCTCTAAGGGGCGGAGTTTAAATCTATTCTATTTGGGAAAAAACTTGCAAAGGATGAGTTTCATGCACAATAAAAAGAACATAAACTGAGGAGAATTACTTATTCTCGTTCAGGTATCGTATCGTATTTACACGTTATTTCAATTGCGATAAAAGCTCTGTATCCTTTTTACTTTTTACTTCATTGCGACTGTTCAGCCATTTTATGTATTATGGAAATTATGATAATTCCGTTTTATGGATAATAGCCGTCGTCGTACGCCATAGAACAATGAACATCGTAAAGAGAAAGAACTAGCCGCAAGCCGCAAATCGTATAACCTCTAACTAAACTAAGAGATCGATGTAATGTAAAGTAAATATGAAAATTAAAATATAATTTAACAATTTTTCCGTACTGATGAAGTGACAGAATCTTGCACTAGTAAAAGAAAGTAGGAAAATGACATTTAAAAAAGGTTTGTCCCAAATCCAAACATTTGCTATGTTGATAAAATTGTAAAACTTTACTTTGTAGGTGTTGACCCCAAGGTGTTCCGCGCGATCCAACATGTTAACATGCAGGAGCTGTCCAAATGCACCGAGCAAGAAATCCGCCCTGTGCTGCCTTGCTTGGTTAGGATGGGGCTAATATCACCGCTGGACACTTCTAAAAAGTGCACGAATATGAAGGTTAACATATTAACAATCGTGTCAGGCATGGAACTAGTGAATTCCATAGTCGCTTTGCTGTCTATCGACTTCCACAAGCTGGAGATCGATGTGAAAAAAGAACAACAACTCCGACAGAAAGGTAAGGCATTTCAATAATAATTTTTAGATCTATAGCGGGAATATTTTTAGGAAATACCGTCCAAAACGACTCTATCTTAATCGGAAACTTGTCCAACACCAGCATGGCGTTGGAGTACGAACGCAGCGACATGACCCGCCGCCTCAGCATCTTACTCGGCGAACTCCTATATATACAGTCTCTGATCCAGGAGGGGAACGAAAGCACCTCGGAACAGGACTTTTACATAAAATCGTCCGAGTTGTTCGATAACGATATATTCGCCGAGGAACTGGCCGATATCATCTGCATAGCGATCGCCGAGTTACCGACCACCCTGAACATCACCAACATCACGGAAACTCTGCTCCAAGTCCACAACGGACCTGCTATTATCTGCCGTTTGGTCGCCAACTTCCCCGATTGCTTCAGAGAAGGTACGTCTCATGTTTACTCGCTTATCAACAGGAAGCAGTCAGTTTCTATACCTACGTTGCTTTAACCTCTGCGCTTTTTCTGCCGCCAGTTTGCACCTACCTCATCCAGAGCGGCGAGAAGCAGGAGGAGAACATCTCCAGCGCAGTACGGGCCAACGCCATATCGTTGCTCTGCAAGATGAATCCTTCGCAGGCTCTTACGATCAGAAGTAAGTGCGTGGAATTGTGCAGGATGCCTGCGTTGGCCATCACTTTGTCTCTGGAGCACCTCGACAAGAACGCCAGTACGGACGAGGAGGGCGACATGGTGGCGTTCGTATCGGGATTGCTGCTCGGCAACGACCAAACCATAAGGTAAGCGATGGTTTAGATCAATGCGTGAGATTAGAACGAGATTTGATTCGCTGCGAATTGTAAGAACATTTTTGGATAGAAAGGAATACGAGAGGACTATAAATAAGGGACATTTTTGTAAGGAATGGCATGAGGGGAACGTTATTGCTAGGGAAAAATTATAGTAAATATAGAAATGTTCTCGTAAAAAAAATAAAATACAAACTTTTTGTTTTTGGATTTGTTCTTGACGGAACATTTTTGTAGAGAACGAATTTGGAACGAAATGCACACAAGAACATTCTTGCAGAGAACAAACTGGGAACAAAATGCATAAACCAACATTCTCGTAACAAGCGGTTTTGAGGAAACTGTTCAGTTCATTTTGTTGTTGACTTTTCTTTATGAAAACGTAAATCTCTCGACTTTGTTCTCAAAACGTTCCTCATATTTTGTTCTCAGGGGCAACAAGATGAAACGGTTTCTAATATAGAATGAAGATAATATACATTCTATTTATAGATTTGGCCTTGACTAAACATTTTTGTAGGAAACGAACTTATAATGAAATGCAAACAAGAACATTCTTGCAGAGAACGAACTGGGAACAAAATGCATAAACCAACAATCTCTTAAAGAGCTGTTTTATGGAAACTTCAGTTCATTTTGTTGAAGTGTAAATGTCTTGACTTCGTTTTCTCTGAAAAAGTTCCCCATAATTCGTTCTCTAATAACAAGAGAAAATGGTTTCTAATACAGGACGAAGAATAATATACACATTTTCTGTTTATATTTGTTCTTGACTGTAGGGAACGAACTTGTAAGGAATTGCACATGAGAACGTTCTTGTGGACAACGAACCCGGAACAAAATGTATAAACCAGTGTAATGAGTAGTTTTGTGGAAATTTTTCAGTTTATTTTGTTAACTTTTCTTTATGAAAACAAATTTTTGGACTTCGTTCTCTAAAAATGTTTATCATATTTCGTTCTCGGGAACAGGAAGGAACAAAACAGAACAGTTTCTAAGAAAATAAAAAATAATATATACATTTTGTTTTTCGATTTGGTCTTGACTAAACATTTTTGCAATGAAATGCAGACAAGAACATTCTTGCAAAGAATGGCGAACTGGGAACGAAATAAACAAACAATCTTGTAGAAGCGGTTTTGCGAACATGTTTCAGTTTATTTTGTTATTGACATTTCTTTGTGAAATGTAAAACTTTTGACTTCCTTCTCCATATTTTGTTAGGAACAACAAAACGGAACGGTTTCTAGTACAGCTAATATTACATTTTGAATTTACTTTTCTTCTTTATTAAACATTGTTGTAGGGAAAGAACTTGTTACGAAATGCAAACGAGAACATTCTTGCAGAGAATGAACTGGGAATAAAATGCATAAACCAACGGTCTCGTAAAGAGCTGTTTTGTGGAAACTTCAGTTCATTTTGTTGTTGACTTTATGAAAGTGTAAATGTCTTGACTTTGTTTTCTTTGAAAATGTTCCCCATAATTCGTTCTCATTAATAACAAGAGAAAACAGTTTTTAATACAGCACGAAGAATAATATACACATTTTCTGTTTATATTTGTTTTTGACTGTAGGGAACGAACTTAACGAATTGCACACGAGAACGCACCGGGAACAAAATGTATAAACCAGTGTAATGAGCGGTTTTACGGCATTTTTTCAGTTTATTTTGATAACTTTTCTTTATGAAAATAAATCTTTGGACTTCGTTCTCTAAAAATGTTCATCATATTTCGTTCTCGGGAACAGGAAGGAACAAAACAGAACAGTTTCTAAGAAAATAAAAAATAATATATACATTTTGTTTTTCGATTTGGTCTTGACTAAACATTTTTGCAATGAAATGCAGACAAGAACATTCTTGCAAAGAATGGCGAACTGGGAACGAAATAAACAAACAATCTTGTAGAAGCGGTTTTGCGAACATGTTTCAGTTTATTTTGTTATTGACATTTCTTTGTGAAATGTAAAACTTTTGACTTCCTTCGCCATATTTTGTTAGGAACAACAAAACGGATCGGTTTCTAGTACAGCTAATATTACATTTTGAATTTACTTTTCTTCTTTATTAAACATTGTTGTAGGGAAAGAACTTGTTACAAAATGTACACGAGAACATTCTTGCAGAGAACGAACTGGGAACAAAATACATATACGAACGTTCTTGTAACAAGCGGTTTTGAGAAAACACTTCATTTTGTTGTTTTTTCTTTATAGAAACGTAAATCTCTTGACTTCGTTCTCTCTAAAAACGTTCTTCATACTTCGTTCTCAGAAACGACTAAATAGAACGGTTTCTAGTGCATTTGTTTATTTATTGTCTTCTCGATTTTATTATTAGGGGGACTAAATCCCACAAAAGTTTTCTTTTTTTTTAAATCGGATTGCGTTCTAGAAACTGGATAGCCATGTTCATCCGGACGGGGCAAAAGAGGAAAGGCGAGGTGTCCAGCAACGCCCTGCAGCAGCTTAGGGACGAACTGCTGCGTCGCTTACAGAAAATCATCGGGGCCTCGCCCGAAGGCCAACTGCCCGACAGTCTGGTCGTTCAGGCTTCGGCTTTGCTACGTTTATACTGCTCGTTGAGGGGCATAGCCGCCATCAAGTTAGTTAGCATTTTTTTTATCTACTTTTAAGTTTCGTGAACCCGAATATTTTTCAGATTCCAAGACGAGGAGGTGAATTTGATAGTGCAGCTCCTGACGTCGCACCCCAACCCGACGCCGGCCGGCGTACGTTTCGTGTCCATAGGTCTCTGCATGCTCATCGCGTGCCCGTCGTTGGTGTCGTTACCGGAACACGAGAGAAGGAGCATAGAGTGGGTAAGTGCGGTAAAAATTGTTGGTGCACCACATTTTTTTTTGCCAAAAAAAACGTAATTGTTCGACACGATATTTCACGGCCCGCAGGTGCAGTGGCTGGTGAGGGAGGAGGCCTACTTCGAGTCGGCCAGCGGCGTGACCGCCTCCTTCGGCGAGATGCTTCTCCTCATGGCCATCCACTTCCACAGCAACCAGCTGAGCGCCATCTGCGACCTCGTCTGCTCGACTTTGGGCATGAAGATCGCCATCCGCCACAACAACATGACACGCATGAAGCAGGTGTTCACCCAGGAGATATTCACGGAGCAGGTGGTGACGGCGCACGCCGTCAAGGTGCCCGTCACCAACTCGCTGAGCGCCAACATGACGGGTAGGGCGGAAACGCTACTAAAAGGACTCGTATCGAAGGAAAATATCATATTTCCCGTGCTCTAGGTTTCCTACCGATCCACTGCATCCACCAGCTGTTAAAGTCGAGGGCGTTCGCCAAACACAACGTCAACATCAAGAACTGGATCTACAAGCAGATCTGCACCAGCGTCAGCCCCCTCCACCCCGTCCTGCCCATGCTGGTGGAGGTGTACGTCAACAGCATAGTGCTGCCCAACGCCAAGAACGTCGAGCACACCAACAAGCCGCTGACCGAGAACGAGATCCGTAAGGTACCGTTCGGATCCGCTGTACGTATTTTTTTGTATTATTCGACGGTTTGCGTCTAGGTGTTCCAAAGCTCGATCTTCGGACAGTACTTCGACCAGAAGCAGTCGATATTCACCATGGAGTTCGACGCGAACTCGGAAAACCAGGACGTCGTGGTGGACAACACCAGCCTGACCCCCCAGCTGCTGCTCCTGTACTACCTGCTGCTGTACGAGGACTGCCGCTTGAACAACGCGCACACCTTGGCGTCCAGTGGGAGGAAAATCAAACGGTACACCTCGGAGTTCATGTCGGAACTGCCCATCAAGTACCTGCTGCACCACGCGCAGAAAGATCAGAGCTCCTATTCGGGTAAGTGACTTATTTATTTCACACCTATTGCAAAACTTGAACCGTTTCTATAAATAATGAATATTCAGGCATCTCTCGGAAAGTAGTTCATTTGAATCGTAGGCGCGGATCGTTCGCTGACAGGTTATTTTTTAAGGTGTGCCTACTACTGTGATTTTTACATCCATGTTACTCTGGTTGTAGTTTTTTAGCAGGACTATATGGTTATTTCTGTAGTTCGACATTTACGTGAAGTTGTTGATGTCACTATTACATTTAAAAATAATTAAAATAAACCTACCCTCGAGTCATTTTATTGGTCTTCAAATATGTACATTTGTTAGTGAAAATGCAATATATTTTGCCTTATCAGACGTTATTATCCTAAAACTATGTTAGTTCTTGATTTTACGTGATATATGACGATATAGCTAACAGTTTCAGAGTAATAGCCAATTAGTTATATATTTCCGCCAAAATAATCAGAATTGTGGATTATCGGCATTATACATCGGAATATTACACATTTGAGTTAAAAAATAGGTCATGAAATAAAAATACCCAGTACAGCAGCCGTAAGAATCAGTTCCTTTCTTCAAGCTAACGTTATCGTTTCACGAACACAATATGTTTAACATTTTAACATATTTATCAATTTGAACCGCCTAGCGCAAAGAAGATATGTACAAATAGTCCAGTATACAATGGTAAAAATAGGGTATTACCTCTGAATTCTTGACAAACGCACCGATTTTCATGAAAATTGGTGAGTAAGCTCAGTTCACCCTCCTTTACAAAAGTTACATATCCATAATGTGTGCTTCCATCGTTTTTAGGGGGTGAAAACTACCCCTTCTCGCAAAAAACGTAAAAACCATAGATTGAAGTGTTATGTCAATAGAATAAGCATTCTTTTATGTTTTGAATAATAATTTTTGATTTGTAGCAACATTTCAACCCTTAAAATCCCCTTATGAGGAAAAAAAACAAAAATTAGTTTTCGTGGCTCTGAAATGTTTTCACTGAGCAATAATGAAGAATTGAATATTTTTTACTGTTTATGAAATAATACATGATTTATTGCAACGTTTCAACCCTTAGAAACCGCCCTTATTGCAGGAAGTAAAGCAAAAAATTTTGCTCACATCTTCATAGCATTTTACTCATCACTGTTTATAATATTACTGATGATTCATTGCAATGTTTCAACCCTTAAAAACAACGCTTAATGAGGAATTGAAGAATTTTTACCTGCTTCAAAAGACTCAACGATACATTACTAAATTCAACGAGATTACTTAAAACTCCAAACTTAAATTATGTAATTAGTGAAAGGGAAAATAAAAATTATTTGTGTATTATACAATTATACTTCATTATAAAAAATTTACATATCATCTAAAGAACTATCATCACTCTCGACTTCCTCTGTTTGGACATGTGTGTTTGTGTTTGTGCGTGCATTACGCCTCGGAAACTATCTGAAATTAAGCCATTTACACGATCTGACAATTTTCACTAAATAATACAATTCGTTTTTTCACAATAACTTTTTTAATTTTTAATATTTTTTGTCGCTCCAAAAAGCAATTTGTAGGGAATTGTAAGAGCTACAAATTAACCTTTATAGTTGAAGGGTCTTGAACTCTTCGTTTTCGAGATTTTTAGGTTTTAAGGGCTCAAAGAAGGTGGTCCTTACACGCAAATGCAAACTAAAAAACGTAATATCGCAGGTAATTTTTGCTCTACAGAAAAATTGAAAGATAGCAAAAATATTACTAATAAAAAGACCTTTAATTTTGAACCCTTACATTTTTTACTTATCTTGTTTAGTTTTTAGTTATTTCGAAAAAAAGGAAAATTTTTTAAAAATTAAAAAAATATTTTTTTTCATTATTTCAAACTTTTTTTAATTTAGGCATTCTAAACCAGTCAAACTTGCAGACCCTATTATTAGTACCTAAATAAAGTCAACTGTACATGGATTACGCTTAGTTTCTATTTTTATGGTTCAGCCATAGATTTTATTGTTGATTTTTTCTCCGAAAAAATGAGATGACCATTTTATTTTCATCATAACTCCGCGAGTTTTTGAGCTACGAAATTTTTTCAAAAAGCATTATAAAGGTCTTTCCGAGCACTTTAAAAAAGGTTATATTAATTTTCTTCGAAAAATTAGTTCCTTCGCCATTATTTTACGGTGAAATGTTCGATTTTACTTTCCGAAAAATAAACAATCACATTTAGAGAGTGATAACTCGGTTATTATTACATCTACGGTAATCAACAAAAAATTATTATTATTTATTTATTAGTTATTTCAAAAGCTTTATTTTTGCTTTACATGGGTTTTCCGATAAAACGCAAGGTTTTCGAGTTATTTATAAAAAATGGTTAAAAAACATGCACTTTTTAAATGAAAAATCAACATTTTCAATCTCAAATAACTCGGAAAATATTAACTTTTAGAAAAACCATTATAGAGCATTTTTATTGCGATTAAAACGGGTACCTTCATTGCCACCCCCGAGAAGGGGTGGCATTCACCCCCAGGGTGAAAGCACACATCGGCACTACCTAACTTTTGTTTCTTGATCAATTTTCTACTGACTGTTAAAATTTCACGTCAATCGGTGCACATGTGAAGAATTTGGGCCTAAAAATGGTCATATACTGACCAAAAATGCCTAAAAGATACTAAACAAAATGGATGTCTTGGTTCTAAATTAGTGATGGGACTACTCGAATGAAAATTATCGATTATATCGATTATGAAAATCTCTCGAGATATCTCGAGTGATCATCTAAATTCATTCGATTATTCTTAGACGAATGACGAATGACAGTGGCCACAGCATTACTAACGTCAATCGTCACTCGTCATCACCGAATAACGCAAACGCGCTGCTCGAGCGAGAGCACAGGTGTTTCGATTATTCCAACGCTCTAACGAGCTACAAAACCTCGAGATAAGACGGCCGAGAGGATGGATGAGACAATCGATTATCATCGCATAAAAAAGATATGCAGTATTTTTATGAGTGGCATCGCGCGGTTTTGAAGGGCTGTTTAAAAGGGAGCTTTATTTAGCAAGAATAGAAATTCATATGAATGAAAATAATATAAAAATTATGTTTTCTATAATTTTTTTTTTTTCAAAAACCGAAACAATGGATCTCTTTAGGCGGCGACTACTCATTTTAAACACATGCTGATGAACCACTCAACTGACAACGAAGAAATGCCGCAATACGCGAGTCATTAATTTCGTTTTTTTTCGCATATAATTTTTGGGATAGGTCGGAAATTTTGGAAGTGGACTTTCGATTATATATCATTCGAATGATCATTCGATTATAAAATTAATTCGAAAGGTAACCTCTCGATTATTTAATTCATTCGATTATTCCCATCACTATTCTAAATGCAAACATTGCAAACCCTGTAGATTCCACTAAGGCTTTGCCTTATTCCTTATTCAGGACCTCTAGTTATTTTTGTTTGTCTTCTCAAATCTTCGGTCATCTGTCAAAATAGTTCATTTGAACTACACCTACTGACGTTCTAATTGCGGTAAGGGCGACATCTGTTTTATTAACTTAAAATCACTCTCGCAGGGAAACCATCCGTTTTATGTTTCTTCTTTTTTTTTGTCAGTTCTCTTTAACTGTAAATGAAAATATATAGTTCAATGCTGCGTTACAGCAATAACGTGCTTTTCAGCACACGTATCACTTTACTTTCCCAAGGAAGTTAAAATTAAAGGTTTTAATTTGCCTGTATCTTTATATTAAAATGCCTGACATAGCTACACAACATAAAAAGAGATATGAAACACAAATTACATCACGACATTCAAAATTATGACTTATTTTTCCCTACGAATCTACCAAAAACAGCGCCATCTCTTGCAGATTTTAAAAAGTAGTTCATTTGACGCAGTCGCCTATTGTTTTTAGAGTATGACTATATTATGTTCAAAACAAAATTTGTGTCTATCGTAGGACTTTTCGGCCCCCTCTTGAAGCTGCTGGCCACCCACTTCCCCCACCTCACCCTGGTGGAGGACTGGCTGGACGACATGGCGATTCAACACGAGTTCAAGCCCGTCCATTTGTCTGAGCTCGCAATGGTGGAAGCCTTCAACGAGGTGGAGACGAAGCCGTCGAAATGTGCCAAGCTCCTTCAGACATTGCTGAGGCAGGAAGCCATCGACATCTGGCCCTTCGCCGAGGTCTTCACACAGTTCGCGAGGAACTTCGTGGCGGACAGCGTGCCCAGGTACCTGCAGGACCTCTACAAGGACGTGTGGTTCCGTTTGAACACCGTGCTGCCCAGGAGGCTCTGGGTGTTAACGGTGAAGAATTTAGTGGACGATTTCTCGAGCTTGGCTAGGATAGACGTCGCGGAGGACCCCTTGCAGGTGGACTAAACGACTTTTTAACGCGTCGACATGTTTTTGAAATAAATTGTCGTTTTCAGATTATGCGATGCGACGAGAGGGTGTTTCGTTGTGCTCCGGTCTACGCTGTTGTGTTGAGGGTGCTAAGAGCCAGCCTGGCGTCTTCGAGGAGCCAGCTGCTGCAGCACCTGCACACGCACGTCAGGGTGGACCCGTCCGGGCAGCTGACGAACGAGACCGAACGGGACGAGATGTGTAGGGCTTGCATCGCGGCGCAGGTAAGTGGCTTTGAATTATTTAATGCCCTGATTAATTTCAAATTTATAACATCTTTTTCCCTTTTTTTTGCATTTTGTGACATCGTAAATTAAAAATCGTAATGCAAAGGTGTGTTTAGTAAACAATTTTTTAATATTTATAGTGTGACAAAATACTATAAAAAAAAAAATAACTATTTGTTATCTGGATTTTATGTTTTTTTTTATAATATCTGTTTTTCCCTGTCGTCTTCTTTATTTTTTGTGTATTTCTGAATGATTTTCTTCTTTCTCTTAACTGACGTCACCACGTGCGCTTAAGCTACCAGCATCACTACACTTGACAGTCTTGACACATGTAGAGTAGTTCAAACGTATCGCTTTCTTTCACTTCTTCTTGAAGTTATCGCAAGTTGAAAGTTCAGCGCTAACTTCGCGCGGTGCTGTCAATTGTTATTTTAGGAATCCTAACCTCAAAAAATCGATATCGGTCGCGTTTTTCGTCAAAAATTAGTGTCCCGTGAAAAGTTGCGTCGCAAAATCGGATGGATCGCAAGCACGAAAGGCGGCACAGCGCCCCCGAGCGCCACCGTTACCGCAAAAGACCGCAGTCGAGGTCGCCTCCCCGTAGCGAGAAAAAGCGTAGAAGATCCTCTTCGCCTAGAAACAGAAAGGTGGAGGACTACAGGCATGAATTAACCCGTTTTCTGGACGAACAAGCCGCCGTTAACAAACCTGAGGATTTTTGGAAGTTCCACGCGAAATACCAGGCTCTGCAAGCTCTGAAAAAAACCTCGGAGACCGATAGGAATAAAGCCTTGAACGTAAACTTTATAGAGAACGCCACATTGCTCTACGACAAGCTGCCAGTGTTGGATAGAAACGGCGAGAGAATGCGTATATCGTTCGAGGACTTCAAGGATTTCCTGCTGTCGATCCGAGTGTATCAAGATTTCCAACAGAAGACGAACTTCTCGAAGTTGAAGAAGCTGAAACTAGCCCAGAACGACCTCCCCATCGCGCAGTACAAGAAGGAGATCATCGATAAATTGAGGGACTTCAGGGTGGTGCTTATAGCGGGCGATACGGGTTGCGGCAAGTCCACGCAAGTACCCCAGTACATCTTGGAGGCTGGCTACGACAAAATCGTGTGCACCCAGCCGAGGCGTATCGCCTGCGTCAGCCTGGCGAAGAGGGTGGCTTACGAGACGCTCACGGATTACAAGAACACCGTGGGGTACCAGATCAGGTTCGAGAAGACGAAAAGGGCCGACACGAAGATAATTTTCATGACGGAGGGGTTGCTGCTGCGCCAGGCTTCCGAGCAGGAGACGTTGAATTTGTACGACGTTATTGTTTTGGATGAGGTGCACGAAAGACACCTGCACGGAGACTTCCTTATAGGTAAGTGCGACTTAGTTCGATTTAACTTCTACAACTCATATTTCGTTTAATAACCAACCGGCAATTTACCACAAAATAAATTGAAGGCATAATGAAGTGCCTGTTGCACAAACGAGAGGACTTCAAGCTGATCCTCATGTCTGCCACGATAAACATCAAGCTATTCAGCGACTATTTCGCCGAGGAGAACGTCCAGGTGGTCGAAGTGCCGGGACGACTGTACCCCATCGAGGTGCAATACAAGCCGATAATAAAAGACCCGTACGAGAGGAAGAGGGACAAATTCGACTGCGGCCCCTACCTGCAGATCTTGCAGATGATCGACGAAAAGTATCCGCCCCATCAGAAGGGGGACGTGCTGATATTCCTCAACGGGTTCTCGGAAATATCGACCCTGGCAGACGCTGTAACGGAGTACGGCCAGTATAAGAACAATTGGATAGTCTTGCCGTTGCACAGCACCCTCTCGTTGGAGGAGCAAGACAAGGTATGCCCGATTTAAGTCTTAAGTTTTGTGTATTGTAGGCGGGATGCATTTTAGGTGTTCGATTACCCGCCGGACGGCGTCAGGAAGTGCATTATATCGACGAATATAGCGGAGACTTCGGTGACGATCGACGGCATAAGGTTCGTCATCGACTCGGGGAAGGTGAACAGGATGACGTATAATACGCAGATGGGCGTGAACAAGCTCAGCGAGGCTAACATATCTCAGGATAGCGCCAAGCAAAGAGCAGGTGAGTGTTTCTTGTGGGTGGGCGGAAAAGATGGTTTTTAATGCGAAACGTTGCGACAAGTTCGATTTTTTTTTCAACTCGCACGTTTCCAGGCAGAGCGGGTCGTACCGGACCCGGTGTATGCTTCCGCATGTATTCCGAGGAGGACTTCAAGAATTTCGAGGCTTTCACGCCCGCCGAGATACACCTGGTACCGTTGGACTCGTTGCTGCTTCACATGATATCTCTCGGACTCGCCGACATAGCCAATTTCCCTTTCATCGAGAAACCCGCAGCTAAAAGCCTTGAAGAAGGCCTGGAAAAGTTGAAGTTCACCGGCGCCTTGGAGCTAGAAAGGGAATGCTTGGCCCTAACGCCGCTCGGAGACGCCTTGAGTCAACTCCCAGTCGACTTATCTATCGGTACGATCAGTATAGACTCGTTTTTTCCAACTTAAACCTAACATTTATCCTATTCACAGGTAAGATGCTTATAATGTCGACGGTATTCGGTAACGTCAACTCGGTACTGGCCCTAGCGTCGCTGCTGAGCGTTCAGAGTCCCCTGACGCAGGCCGCTCACCGCAACTCCCAAGCCCAGGACCTGCGGAAGCCTCTGGAGTCGAGCCACGGCGATCCCACGACGCTGCTCAACTTCTACAAGGAGTGGCTGTCGGTGAAACAAGACTCGGCGCCCGTTCAGTCGCGTTCCGGCCACCACCGGACGGAGAACTCGAAGACGTGGGCCCGCAAGCGTTGCCTCGAGGAGCAGAGGTTCTACGAGGCGACGAAGCTGTCGGAACAGTTCAGGGATATTCTCTGCGAGGCCGATCTGCTGGCGAAAGTGGCGGAGAGCGAGCTGAGCAGCGGCGAGAGGGCGATCAGGCACGGCGAGCTGAAGCGGCTGAAGTCGATGCGGTACGAGCTGAAGAACGAGAGCAAGGCGAGGACGAGGAAACGGTTGAAGTTCGAGATGTACGGCGCGCCGGAGGACGAGGCGGGGGGGAGGAGCGACATCAGGGACGTGGAGTTCCGCATAGCGAACGACTTTAAAAGGTAAGCGAGTGGAATTTTTTAAATTAATCGAGAATATTTTTCAAATAACTCCAAAACTCAAAAAAAAAACACCTTTTAATTTAAATAAGTCTGGCCATTGCTTTTATTCACACGAACCATCATTCGGCTATCATCGTGCGTGCTGTTAGAAGCGAGCGTTATCTCCGAATTATTTCACTGCCATTTTTTGTGATTATGTAACTCCCCAGTTCCGACACTGAAATTATGTAGTGTATCGTTTTAAATAGCTTTCCAGTTATTTTAGAGAGTTCAAACAAATTTTTCTTGAAGAATCCTCTCGCTTTGTTGTCGAGTACCAAAGAAAACCCAAACGAAGCCACTATATTTCACTTTAGATTGCAGAAATTGCTCAACGAAGCATCGCCAGACAGCCACAAGGACCTCATGATGCTCAAGCTCATCCTGACGAGCGGCCTGTATCCCCAGATAGCCGTCGAGGACGAGCACAACTCCTCCAAGACCGTCTCGGAAAAGTTGTACCACACCAAAACCAAGAACTACGTGTTTCTGAGGCCGACGAGCTATTTCGCTACCAACCCGGAGGTACTGGAGCTGCACAACGACGATATCGAGGTGCCCCCGCCGGGTTACTTCAGCAGGCGCCCGATCAGCAGGAAACACCAAGTTCTGGTCTACCAGAGCATATTAGAAACGAAGAAGGTGTACCTGGTTAACACCATGAGGATGCCGGCAGTGCAGACGTTGATGCTCTTCGGGAAGACCGTCGCCACGAACGCTACCCTTACCAAGTTTGTGTTCGACGATTTCCTGATGATCGACGCGCCGTACTTCGGTCAAGGTACAACAATTTACCCGGTCGTTTTCGTTGGTAACCCGTTAATCTCTGTTTCAGGCAAAACCCTGCTGCAACGCGCCGTGTCGCTCCGGAAAAAATGGAAGACGAAGCTGGAAGCGAAGCTCAGGGACCCCTCGAGCAGCAGCGAGATCGATAGGAAGGAGACATTCTATTTTATGCGGGATCTGGTCGATTTCATGCAGTCCGAGGTCAGCTACAACGTGAAACGCCTCCTGCCCGCCGACCTGAAGGAAATATACTCCCGCGATGTCGATTTCTACGACGTCGAGAAGCTGAACAGCAATCCCTTCGACCCGGACTATCCCGTCACTAAAAACGCTCGGTTGGGGGGCGTGAACGTTACGGAGAACGTCGTTTATAATTGTCTCTTGCAGGAGGAGTGGGCGTGCGTTATCGAGGGGGAGATAAGCACGACGCCTTTCGAGTGTGGTCGTTGCGGGAGAACCAAGCTGGGTTGCACGGTTTTCGGGATTATGCAGCACGAAAGCAAGTGCGGTGCTAGCGTTAAAGTGGAAAACGAAGAAGGCGAGAAAAGCGAAGAGAAAACGGTGAAGGTGAAGGCAAATTCGAAGCAGTATCGTTGCGAAGTGTGCAGGAAGGACTTGTGCTTGACGCCCATCGATATTTTGAAGCATAAAAAGAGTTGTAAATAAAGAATTGGTAACAGGGTTTGTTTTTTAATTCGTGCGGGGTTCTGGAACGAAGTTTTTGAGGTTATAACGGGATGTTTGTGGAGTGCAAATAATTATCCGTTATTTGTTTCCTCTCGGTTTCAAAGCATGACTTTACTGTGTACAATTTTTTGATTTGGGCGTCAATTTACGTTGGAGTTCAATTTTGTGCACAAAATTTACAGTGGTATCTTTTTAAATTCATTTATTCACTGATAAAATTAGTTTATGATGAAAAACGTTAATTTTTCATTCCCTATTTGAAAGTAGAGCTGTTCTCGTTACAGTGTCCAAATTTTTGTGTTATTTTCAAATGGAGTTCAATTTTGTGCACAAAATTTACAGTGGTCTCTTTTTAAAATCACTTATTGAAAAATTTAGTTTCAGATTAAAAACATTCAGTTTTTCATCCCATTGTCAAACTAGAGTCCAAATTTGTGTCATTTTCAACTGGAGTTCAATTTTGTGTGTAAAATTTACAGTACTATCTTTTTAAATTCATTTATTCATTGATAAAATTAGTTTCTGATGAAAAACGTTAATTTTTCATTCCCTATTTCAAAGTAGAACTGTTCTCGATACAATGTCCAAATTTGTGTGTTATTTTCAACTGGAGTTCAATATTGTGCACAAAATTTACAGTGGTCCCTTCTTAAATTCACTTATTTATTAAAAATTTTGGTTTCTGATTAAAAACATTCAGTTTTTCATCCCATTCTCAAAGAGTCCAAATTTGTATCATTTTCAACTGGAGTTCAATTTTGTGCGCACAATTTACAGTGATGTCTTTTTAAATTCATTTATTCATTGATAAAATTAGTTTTTGATGAACAACATTAATTTTTCATTCCCTATTTCAAAGCAGAGCTTGTATCTTTACAATGTCCAAATTTGTGTCATTTTAAAACGGAGGTCAGTTTTGTGCACAAAATTTACAGTGGTGTCTGTTTAAATTAATTTATTCATTGATAAAATTAGTTTCTGATGAAAACATAAATTTTTCATTCCCTATTTCAAAATAGAGCTGTTCTCGTTACAATATCCAAATTTGTGTCATTGCCTATTTCAAAGTAGAGCTGTTTTCGTTACAATGCCCATATTTGTGTATTATTTTCAACTGGAGTTCAATTTTGTGCACAAAATTTACAGTAGTATATTTTTAAATTCATTTATTCATTGCTAAAATTAGTTTCTAATTAAAAACATTAATTTGTCATTCCCTATTTCAAAGTAGATCTTGTCCCTTTACAATGTCCAAATTTGTGTGTCATTTTCAAACGCAGGTCAATTTTGTGCGCAAAATTTACAGTAGTATCTTTTTAAATTCATTTATTCATTGCTAAAATTAGTTTCTGATTAAAAACATTAATTTTTCATTCCCTATTTCAAAGTAGAGCTGTTCTCACTACACTGCCCAAATTTGTATGTTATTTTCAAACGCAGGTCAATTTTGTGCGCAAAATTTACAGTAGTATCTTTTTAAATTCATTTATTCATTGCTAAAATTAGTTTATGATTAAAAACATTAATTTTTCATTCTCTATTTCAAAGTAGAGCTGTTTTCATTACACTGCCCAAATTTGTATGTTATTTTCAACTGGAGTTCAATTTTGTGCACAAAATTTACAGTGTTGTCTTTTTAAATTCACTTATTATTGAAAAATTTAGTTTCTGATTAAAAACATTCATTTTTTCATCCCATTCTCAAACTAGATTCCAAATTTGTGTGTCATTTTCAACGAGTTCAGTTTTGTGCACAAAATTTACAATAGTATCTTTTTAAATTCCTTTATTTATTGTTAAAATTATTTTCTGATTAAAAACATTAATTTTTTAATCCCTATTTCAAAGTAGAGCTTGTCTTTTTACTGTATCCAAATTTGTGTCATTTTCAAACGGAGGTCAATTTTGTACACGAAATTTACAATAGTGTATTTTTAAAATTAGTTTCTTATTAAAAACATAAATTTTTTCATCCCTTTTTCAAAGCAGAGCTCTTCCATCTACAATGTCCAAATTTGTGTCATTTTCAATTTGAGTTCAATTTTGTGCGCAAAATTTACAGTAAAGTTTCATTTTTGAAATTCATTTACTCGAAAAATTCACTTTTTCATCTCGTTTTGAAAGTAGAGCTGTTCACTTTACATTGTTTAGATTTGTGCGTCAATTTCACTTGAAATTCAATTTTGTGCTCCAAATTTACGGTAATTATCTTTGAGATTCACCTATATAATAAAAAAACTAGTTTTTTTCCTCTCGTTTTCAAAGTAAAGCTTTTCCATTTACAATTTTCGGATTTGTGTCACAATTTCACATTGAAGTTCCATTTTGTGCGCAAGATTACCGCTGTAAATCTTTTAAAATTCACTTAAGTAATGACGAAATTAAATTTTTTCAAGGTAAAACTTTTTTCCTTTACAATGCGTAGATTTGTGCGTCAAACTGAATTTTTTTTTAAATCCGCATTCTCTATTATTTCTCGACTTGCCGTTTATTCAGTTTCCGCTCGCCGTTGAGTTGTCATTAACCCCGGCCCTAAATATTTTTCAGACATTTTCGTTGCAGGAATCCGCAGCGGTGCAAATGCTGCTCGAAACCTGTCTGGAGACGCCCGAGGACAGGGTCAAGCCGGGCAGGCAGTGGGCGCTGCAGGAGGTACGGTCCCTGGTGTGCAGCTACCTCCACCAAGCGTTCATAGCCGACACGACGCTGTGCAAGCTGGTGCACTTCCAGGTGAGTGGGATCCTCTATAATCGTTTACCGGAAAATGTAAATTGAATTTGTAAAGTCTGTTTTACAAACCCATGCGCAAGTGCAAGCGTACACTAGTGCATAGTATAAATGAGGTTGATAAAGTAATTTTTCTTTACTGTATTACTTGTATTAACAACTATTACTTAAATCGGGACCATAATTATACAGAAATCACCCGTTGAGCTTTAGAAACAGTTGTCTGGTGAGATATAACCTACAAAGCATATGTCATTGCTATTTTGTTTCTACTAGCACATGTGCCTACTGGCAAATTAGTAGGTCATTTGTATCAGTGCCAGTAGACATAAGTAGCAATGACGTTTAATTGCAGTAGTGCGAAAGTTTCCTCTTCGCACCGTACACAATGATTAAATTTAATTAAAAAATTGGTGTTATAGACGTATCCTTGCGAACTGCTAGAGATTGTTGTCCGTGGCGTGCCGTCCATGCACATCTGCCTGGACTTCCTGCAGGAACTGATGCAACAACCCAGCTTGGTCAAGCAGATATTCGGGATACAGTTGCTGTCCCACGTCAGCCTGCAATATGCCTTACCGAAGAGCCTCAACCTGTGCGTTATGGCTCTAAACTTGCTCTACGCCTTACTCGGAGGTAATTTATTATTTTTTTTAAATGTTTCTTAGGCGTAACAGAAATTTTTCCCTCCCAGGCGTGTCCAGCGGCCAACGAGTGAAACTCTTCAAGCCCGTCCTGCCCGCTCTAGTGAGGATCAGCGAGGCCTTCCCACCGCTCACCGACGACATCATCAACCTGATCATGCAGCTAGCGAGGGTGTGCGAGTCCCAGGCGGCGCTCGCCTCCCACTTCGACGCTCACCTCGGTAAGGGGCTGGAGATCGCGTCGCAGGAGAGCGTGGAGTTGTGCGAGCTGACGCAGAAGACGTTTACGGAAATCCTGGATAAGGCCGTGCTGAGGGCCAAGGTGTACAGGCAGGAGTAGGCCGTCGCCTGAAGATGCGCGGCGCGTTAGTGAAATCGGCGTCAAGTTTTTTCTTTTTTGAAGTAATTGATTGGTTTTTTAAGATTATTTTGTACTTTATTTTAAAAATATGTACATAGTTAATATTAACGTTTGAAAAAATAGTGTCTATTTTTTTTTTACAATTGCATGCTGTCCAAATCCTTTAACGCTTCTTCGGATTTTTTCTGTGCCTCCGAAGATGCGTCCTTGTCTGCCGTGGGGAGTTTCGAGGTGTTGGTTTCTGCCGGTTTGGGCTTCGGCCCGCTAGTTTGCCTGATTTTGTCCTCTAGGTGGACGAGGGCTTTGTCGATTTCGATCGTTTTGCTCTTGTTTTTGACGTTGATCTGAAAAAAAAACATCTGGATAGAGAAGAGTCGAAATCAAATGCAAAGTTGTTAAACTTTATCCGATATGGTCGATTCCGTTTTACCTCTTTTATATAATTTTTTTCAAGATTTTCAACACATATAACATCGCTTTTAGATTTTCAATTGTTTTTGTGCGATAAAAGACCTGCAAACTATTTCGTTTCAGATTTTCCAGTCCGGTGACGTATTTACGAAAGTTTGTTCATTTGAACTACTTTTTCAGAAACTAAACAAACAGTTTTAATTTACTATTCGTTAATAAAATGAGATGTATTATTTTTGGAGTTTTGTTACGATTAAATTCAATGCACTGTAAACTCGCACTTAAGCGACTAACCGCTATTATTGGCCATTGTTGGCACTGGCAATTTAGCAACTTAATAAACAGAGCAGGAATCAATCGAGAATCCCAATAAAACACGACAAAAAAGTAAGAATTATGCGGCTTATTGACTGGATTCTACACATCTTATATAGAAACGGTACTTACGTTTTTTAAATCGGTTTTGACGGCTTTCGCCTTGGCCTTGAGCTTCAAACTCTTGGCTCCGGCGACTTTAAAGACGCTGTTGGCCTTCTTCTTGTTCTTCCCCATCGCTCCCTGAAAAAGAGGTTGTTTTCAAACCTTTATGCGACAGTCGCCCGTTCGAGAAACTGACGATAGGGCAAACGACTCACCTCTAACTCGCCGTTTCTCCGTCCCAGACTCCGAACCTTCCTCCAACTTCCTCTTGTTGCCAACGCGACCCGACAGGATATCCCTGTCTAACCGTACCGTGACTCTCATCATTTCTTTCATCGAACTGACGGTTCTCACCCTGAAAACTTCCAAAATCCTTTCGCTGACGTCAAAACCGAAACTTCGTTGAACGAGATCCTTCGCGATAGAGACATAATCTTCACCTTTGGTGAAACAGTACACAAGCACCACGGGGGAGACGGTTAAGTCCACGAGATCGTCATCTTCGAACAGCCCCACGAAGCAGTCTAGAAACTCCACCGCCGCGGCGGGTAGATTCATCGTCACGTAAACGTTTTCTTTGTTCTTTAGGTGGATCGGTAACTTTTTCTTGAAATCGTTTTTTATAAAATCCCGCCCGTCTTTGTTGTAAGCCCTGAAATACTTCTCGTCTATTTTGTTGGCTTTGGCGTTGAATTCTAACCACTTGAACGACTCGGGGTTCAGGTCGTTGGCGTAAACGTGACACTTCTTCTTGGCGCAGGGCAAAGCGAAAGGCCCCACGCCGGCGAAAACGTCGAACAGCACGTCGCTCGCCTTCAGCCTCTCCACGATCCTCACGTGCTCCGTGCAGAGCCTGGAGTTCCAGTATACTGCGGAAAAGTCGAATTTGAATGTGCAGTTGTTTTCCTTGACCGTCGTCAGCATGTCGTCCTCCCCTTTCAGCACTTCCATCTGGAAGTTGCGGTACGTGTTGTCGATGGCATTAGTCTTGTTCACTACCGATCTACACCCTGGGATTTTATCGAAAAGCACTTCGCCGATCAGCTCCTTGTACGGCAAGAGGTGCTCCCGCAGGTTTACGTGTACGATGTGGCCTATTTTCGTGAAACTCGACAAGCCTAAAACCGTGAAAACGTGTAAATTCACCACTCGCACCACTTACCAGAGCACCTACCTTCTTTATCGGGTGGCAGCACTGCTTTTAAGACGGTCTCCGCATTAAAGTTGTCATACTTCAACGTAACGTCTCTACTCTTCAAATTCGATTCCTCTACTGACACATCCTTCAAAGCGCTCTGCGTTTTGGGGGGGAAATCGCTCCAAGCAGCCACATTTTGCGGGTTCAGAAATATGATTGTCGTGTTTTCATCCTCGTGTTGAACCGGCTTAAAGTTGTCGAGTTTCAGCAGGTACTTTCTTATTAAGGGAAGCACCAAAGCAGGTTTGACGTCTGTCAGTGACAGGTACGCGATGTTAAGGGTCTTTTGGAACAAGTCTTTATCTAACTTTGTTATACCACGCACCGATTCTGGAGGTTTCAAAATGTTGGTCATTTCGGCCATTGCTCCAATTAGAGAAGTTGGAAGAAGTTTGCGGAGAATGAGAAACATAAAATGTCTACAACGAAAGCTAAATAAAAGATATACGTACTTTAAAACGGCAATTCGAACACGTCTGCTAATTGCGTGCTAAAATTTGAGGTTATGTTACCGAAATAGCTCGTCTTCTTCTTCATTTGAAATGAACCAAATGAACTACTAGATCTTGGATGAAACTGTCAAAAGACAAAGTTGTCACTGCACAAAATCAAATTCTTCAAAAACAGCTGATCCAGAATTGTTCAACTTAAATGTTTTATAATCTCAATGTGGGTTTTCCTTAGTTAATTTTAATACATTCATTCGTTTGTACGCAATTTTATTAAGCTTAATTGATTCGTTACGTTTATAAATGTACTTTAACGATTTGGTTTAATGAATAAAAAATTCCACAGCCTGTAAGAGTGTAAGTATTTAATACACAAGTGTTTCAATTTACATAAATAAGACCCGTTTTTAGGCATTTATCTGTACAGGAAAAAACGTACTTTACCTAATCATATATTTGTATTGCTTTTATCAGTATTTACTTATTGTTATCTTGGAGAAATAGGTTATTTACACGAATATTGATACCAACTCCGCCACATCAAGATGCCTCAAAGAAATTATCTGGTAAAAGCAATAATTTGTGTAGAAAATATATAAAAGTCGTTTTTTTTAGACTGCTATAGAGACATTGAACCGGTACCAAACGGCCAGACCCGGCCATGGTAGCTTACAGCCCAAATATAATAAATTAGAAGCTATGGCGAAATATCTGAACAGGTATGCTCACTCTTTCCGACGATTGTACAGTTACGACTTGATTTTTGAAGGTGTGGAATATCTCTGGAAAAACTGGACGATCTTTCTGTTATTCATGTAACAGGCACGCACGGTAAAGGCAGTACATGTTTCTATTGCGAGAGCGTGCTTCTTAGTCACGGTTACAACACTGGATTTTATTCGTCGCCGCATCTTTTGGAGGTTAGAGAACGGATTAGAATCGGTGGTAAACCGCTCTCGAAAAGTGCATTTTCTGAGCATTTCTGGACTGTCTACGACATGCTGGATGGACAGAAGGAAGATGAAAACGACATGCCGTTGTACTTCCCATTCCTGACGATTCTTGCGTTTCACATATTTTTGAAGAGCAAAATCGACGTGGCGATAGTGGAAGTGGGGATCGGCGGGGAGTACGATAGCACGAACGTCATAAGGTAATTTTTACATGTCGATTTAACACAAACTTCATATTACTTAAAAATATAGGACGCCGATAGCGGTCGGTATCGCTCCGATATCCATCGACCATACTGCTATATTAGGGGCGACGGAAGAGTCCATCGCTTGGCACAAGGGGGGTATCATGAAACCTGGCGGTGTCGCTTTCAGCGTTATCCAGAGTGAAGGCATTTTAAACGTTCTTGAGGAACGCAGCAAAGAACGAGGCGTAATAAATCGTATTTTGTAAAATTTATAGTTTGATACGAACAAACATTTCAGTGTCCCTTGAAAATATTGAGGAAATGTTTGTGTACGGCAGACGTTGGATCCAGAATACCTGTGCATGTCAAAGAGACGGTTGCGACGCTGGCCATAGCTTTGAGCGAGGCTATCGTGAAGAAAAGTGAGTATCGGCCTACAAAAAACGTGCAAATGTTAGGAATTTACTCGAGTTCTGAATTTTGTGCAATTTTTCGATACTTTAACCGTGATTTTTAGGATGTGACAAAGATCCAAATGAATCGAGACACTTCTCGTTGGAAATGGCGATCAGATCTATTGAAAACGCCTGTTGGCCTGGCCGATACGACATTAGAGAAATAGGCAACGTCCGGTAACTAGAATTTGTCGTTTCGTAACTTTAATTAGGGGATATCAATATCAATTTTCGATATTTCAGGTTCTTTTTAGACGGGGCCCACACCCAAATCAGTATTAAAACCACAGCAGAGTGGTTTTCGGGAGAAACAAAGGATTCTCCTCACCCGAAAGTCCTGGTGTTTAACCTGACCGGCAAGAGAGACTCCGAGGTTTTCCTCGCAGAATTGTTGATATGCGAATTTGACGTAGCGATTTTTATACCAAACGTCGGATGTGAAAAGGACACGGCAGGTAAAAAGTTAATTAATCCGTTATGGGGTAGGGTTAGACGGTTCAGTTAAAAGTGATCTTAACTACTAAGATCACTTAGGACCAGGAAAGGAAAGCTCCTACTGGTTTTAACCTCGAAATGTGTTAGGATATCGTAAATAAACAACTTTTATCTGTGTTCCAGATACAGCCAACTTTAAACTAACCACCGAAACACAGCTCACCCTCTGCGTGGAATACAGCGAGAAGTGGTTGGGATTGCAAAGACGATACGGGAAAAAACCCAGCGTGGTTAAAGTTTTCCCGTCGTTTGCCAAAGTCTTGCAGTTCTTGGGGAAAACGGACCGGTGTGACGTTTTGGTTACTGGATCTTTGTATCTGGTCGGCGCTGCCCTTAGCGTGCTAGACCCTTCGCTCAAGGGTTCTCTGACCGATGAATAATGTCGAGAGTGTTAATGTTTATACGGGGTGTCCTAATATTCCGTGTACATCGAATTATCACATTTCTTCTGGGCTAACCATTGCGATTAGAATGAGAAGTAGCAGTATTATTGTTAATAAAAAAATTGCAGAAAATGATAATTTCCAATTAATTATGCAAAGCCCATTAGAAATACAAAATAAAACACGAAAGAAAAACTTTTTTTACGCAATTTTAACACCCTCTGTATAATATTGGACACCCAGTACGACCAAAGAAATTAATTATCAAAACTGACAGTATTTTTAAAAAGTTTTATCGATTATCGAAATAGTCTACACTGCATCGACTTTAGTATTATGTTAAGTACCTAAACGCATTCTTAATTTGTAATTTTTCAATCATGTTGATGTAATTTGATCAAGTACTAAAATGTGATAAATATTTTTGTATATTTATATCCCATGTATCATAAAATATATCTTTATACAGTAGATATCTCTATTTCCTAAAACCTAAAACTGAAACAGTTCAAAAAGAACATAGATCGGGATTAGTGGTGTAGAGGAAAAAAACTATGTTTAATTAACTAAAAGACGAATAAAAATGATGAAAGCTGTATGGAAAATTATTTATTTTACTTTATTTTCCTTTTAAAATACATAAACTGCTTTATTTCATATGATTTACTTTGCAGATGTAAAGTCCCTGGGTGATCTAGGGACTTTATATGTGTAAAGTCCCTAGACTGATAAAGTACCGCAATCCAGCGAAATTTTCTAGCAAAACCTCCATTGCCAACTTGATAATATAAGGATTAATATATTCAACAAATAAAATGTATTTTTAATTTGTACATTTTAAGTCGAAATACAGGAAAAAATAAGCTTTTGATGGTTTAGTTGTCAATAAGATCTAAATTTAGAAAATATATTTAAAAATATACTTAATTTACTTTACATTCCTTTTAAAATGTACAAAATGCTTTTTTTCATGCGATATAGTGGCACAGCTTGACACCTGTAAAGTCCCTGGTTGATGTAGGGACTTTACATGTGTAAAGTCCCTAGACTGATAACATGCGGCTATCATCCGCCATTTTAGGACAAACTTTCTATTGGTTGGTTTTAGAGATTTTGCCCCGTTGCAAACTTTAAAACATACATTTTACATCAAAATACCGAAAACGATTAAATTTGGATAATTGTTTTATATAAATAATACTTACATTCAAATATGTATCTAAAACGTATCCTGCTATTTAATAATAGCAGAATAGGGACTTTACAATGTAAAGTCCCTAGATTGATAAAATACTGCAATCAAAGGCCATTTTGCAGCAAAATTCATATAGTTAACTTTATAATAAAAGGATCATGTGGAAGGTCATGAATATAATAATTTAATTTGTACATTTTAAATTAAAATACGGGAATAAAATTTTGATTTTATATAAAAACACCTAAATTTAAAAAATAAGTAATAGCAGAATATTTAAGAATATTTTTATTTTGTTTGTATTCATTTTAAAATTACAAATCGCTTTCTTTCCTGTGATATACCTTCACGATTTCGCATGTGTAAAGTTTCCGGTTGATTTAGGGACTTCACATGTGTAAAGTCACTAGATTGATGAAGTACCGCGACCAGCCGCCATTGTGGGGCAAAATTCCTATTGCCAACCTTACAATATAATACTCCATATATTTTTATAGAAGCTACAAAATATACTTAAAACGTCAAACGCAAAATCACATTTGTCAAACCACCATTTCGGAGCAAAATATGGACAATCGGTGGCAGAACTTGCTTGGCCTAGGGACTTTATACATGAACTTGATATGACACCGCGTATTGGTAATTATCGCAATTACAAGGTTTATAATTGAATTTATTGATGGTGAGTAGCAACCCAAATGGCGGCTGATTGCAGTGCAAGACCTGGATGAAACGTCATCTATAGTTTACTTGGCACTCGACACAGCGCCATCTATGGATAATTATTGTTATTAAAGGTTTGTAACTGAAATGATAGACGGCGCTTACAAATAACTACGTTTCCCAGTTCAAACCGTCATAATCCAAGCTTTTGTCACCACTAACTGATTATTTTCGTAAAAATTAATGAAAAATATCCCCACGCAAGATGAACGTTTTGCAAGCTAAAGAAATCAAGTGCCCTCGCGACAGTTCCCGACGAACTGGTCGAACACCTCCACCCTCTTTTCGGCGCACTCCCCCTCGAAGTCGAACTCGCAGTCGAACATCCCCTCGTCGCGATCGAAGAACTCGCAATCGTCGTCCTTGCCGAGGCAGATGTTGTGGATGACGCAAGCGGCCTCGATGCACTTGACTATGAACGGTATCTCTTTGTTCTCGAAGTGGTTGAGACGCTGGAACCTCTCCTTGAGCTTGCCGAAGGCGTCGCGGACCAAGCGGCAGGCCCGGCCCAGGTACCGGTTGAATTCCTCGTGCTCGGGGTTCAGCTGGTCCGAGGTTGAGAACGGGGTTACCAGCCACTGGTAAGTGGGGTAGGAGGTGCCCCCTGGAAAGGGTTTTACGGTTTTGTAGCGTGCTCCTCGACAGACTGGAGTCTGCGGGTGTAATAACGGCACAGAAATAAACAAATAAGAGTACACTTCATGGGAAATAATGCAGCGTCATCTAACGGTGTCCTGGACTATTTTCGGTGCAGAAATTATAGATGGCGCCATCGTCGGAGATACATTTATTGTTGGATAAATCCATCTGTTTTTTACGCTCATATTAAGTGGCATTAATTTGGTTCAATGTTTGTTATTTAACGAAAGATCATTTAATTCAACATACAATTCGATAAATATGGCAAATTGGTAATTGGTTTTTAATGTAAGAATTTTTTATCAACTTAAATTTACCGCCTAATACATTACACACGCGCCATCTATTAACAGTTTTCTGAGCTTGAGCGCATAGTTCCAGTCTAGAACAATAGATGGCTCCGGCAGTCGCATTTTAGCATCGACTATAATTCACACAGAAAGATAACCTCTCATTTGTTTTCTCTGTGGTAGAACTTACCTACTAAGAAATAACCGTCCATAACTTCGTCGCCTTTTGAGGGTATGGAGGATCTCTCCAAAATTTGATACGCCTCTAGCGAGCCTTCACTTATGTATAGGTCGATAAAGTTCCGTTTACTCCCTACAACGCCTAAAACAGAACAGTTTAGGGAACGAAGTTCCTTGAAGCTTATAAGGAAGATAACAAGGTGTTTTAGTCGTTAGTCGCCATGAACATGAAATAATTCAAATATGACAAAAGCTTTCTTTAAAATTAGACTGAACACCAAGGATTTTATTATCGTGCCTTTGTTGTACATGCTCTATTATTCAAAATCCCGATTAATGGGGACATTTTTTGCTAGAAATATTTCAAATCTTGTATTATGTTGAGTTGGCAACACCAGCGACAGCCAATAGTAGCGGCTCGTCGCCTAACTGTAAATTGACACAAATATCTCGTTCTATCGACGAATTGTGAAGCTAAAAAAGTTTATGTCCAAGGAAAACATGGAATTGATTGTATAATTAGTTTTCGCTGCTGCAAATCTTGTTTCAGTGTTTTAACTCTTAGCTCGGTATATGACGGTTTTTAGGTCCGAATTCTTGACACATGCACCGATTGACGTGAAATTTTAACAGTAGGTAGAAAATTGATCAAGAAACAAAAGTTACATAGTGCCGATGTGTGCTTTCACCTTGGGGGTGAATGCCACCCCTTCTCGGGAATGGCAATGAAGACACCCATTTTAACCGCAAAAATCAATAGATTCTAAGCAAAAAATGGTCTATAACGTTTTTTCTAAAAATTAATATTTTCCAAGTTATTTTCGATTGAAAATGTTGATTTTTCATCTAAAGCAGGGCATGTTTTTCAACCATTTTTGATAAATAACTCGAAAACCTTGTGTTTTATCGAAAAACCTATATAGAGGAAAAATAAAGCTCTTGAAATAATGAATCGATTCATTTTTTGTTGATTACCGTAGATGTAATAATAACCGAGTTATCACTCTCTAAAAGTGATTGTTTATTTTTCGGTAAGTAAGATCGATCCTTTAAAATAATGGCGAAAGAACTAATTTTTCGAAGAAAATGAATAAAACCTTTTTTAAAGTGCTTGGAAAGACCTTTAAAATGCTTTTTGAAAAAATTTCGTAGCTCAAAAACTCGCAGAGTTATGTTGAAAATAAAATGGTCATCTCATTCTTTCGGAGAAAAAATCAACAATAAAATCGATGGCTGCACCATAAAAATAGAAACTAAGCGTAATCCATGCACAGTTGACTTTATTTAGGTACTAATAATAGGCTCTGCAAGTTTGACCGGTTTAGAATGCCTAAATTTAAAAAAAATTTGAAATAATGAAAAAAAAATTTTAATTTTTAAAAAAAATTTCCTTTTTTTCGAAATAACTCAAAAACTAAACAAGATATGTAAAAAATGCAAGAGGTTAAAATTAAAGGTCTTTTTATTAGTAATATTTTTGTTCTCTTTCAATTTTTCTGTACAGCAAAAGTTAACTGAGATATTACGTTTTTTAGTTTGCATTTGCGTATAAGGACCACATTCTTTGAGCCCTTAAAACCTAAAACTCTCGAAAACGAAGAGTTCAAGACCCTTCAACTATAGAGGTTGATTTGTAGCTCTTGCAATTCCCTCCAAATTGCTTTTTGGAGTGATGAAAAATATTAAAAATTAAAAAAGTTATCGTGAAAAAACGAATTGTATTATTCAGTGAAAATTGTCGGATCGTGTAAATGGCTTAATTTCCGATAGTTTCCGAGGCGTAATACACGCACAAACACACACAAATCAAAAATTATTATTCAAAACATAAAAAAATGCTTATTCTATCGACATAACGCCTAAATCTATGGTATTTACGTTTTTTGCAAGAAGGGGTAGTTTTCACCCCCTAAAAACAATAAGCACGCATTATGGATATGTGGGTGTGTCAAGAATTCAGAGGTAATACCCTATTTTTACCGTTGTATACTGGACTATCGCGCAAATTACGTCAACTGGCGCTCTAATTTGAAAACGTTTAAAAATCAAACGAATTACAAATAAAATGTACTTGTTACCTTGTACGGCGATACTGTGATAGTTCTTCTTGTTATTATATTTCTCGGGTTCCTCTTTCGGCCTCAGAATTTTTATGTGCGACACCCCGATAGCCCCGATTATCCCCGAAATCTTGCTCGTATTATGGAAAACCTCGGACTCATTCTCATATCGCTCCTTTTCTGGCCACTCGATAAAATCTGCCAACTTCGACGACAAAGTTCGACAACCTACAAACAATTCGACATCAGAATCCGATTAAATTACAGACGATTCAACTCACCGACTTTAACGATATTGTGGACGCAACTCTGAGTGATTTTAAATCGTTCGGAGATCTGCTTGAAGGTCTCCTTGTTACCTAAGTACCACAACAGCACGTAAGCGGCTTTCACCGGGGTTATCTTCTCCCAACCGCCCTTATGGTCGCTGCAGAAGTCATCGTATATCAACTCTGAAAGGATTCAGACGCTGCGTCTATATCCCTTACAAGTATCTCACTACGTACCTGTGACCGTGTCGCATGTGGCTTTGCTCACTCGGAAGTTGTTTTTAAAGTCGCTGTCGTCGAACAGGGGTACGCTTATCTCCGCGAAACCCTCCACCCGCGGTCTTTTCAGTTTTAATTTTTCGACGTCATTGTCCGAGTCGTCGGAGCAGCAGCACTCCTCTTCCGATTCGCTGCTGCTGCTGCTCGCTAGCAAGTGATAGTCCTCGCCAAAGTCGGCGGAATAGAGGAACGCCTCCTAAAAGGAAATAAAGTTGTCTATTTTATGTCCGCGTGAGTAATTTTGTACTTACGATCGCTAGTTTATCCATTTGCTTCTTATAATATTTCAAATAAACAGAATTGTTTACGTTTATCGTTCAGAAAATTTGAGGTTGTAGTTGAAACGTACCCATCTCGTCTTCTTCTTCTTAATCTGTCATAAAACAAAGCGAAGCGAATTTTCGCGATGTCGTTGTTAACCATAGTTTTATAATGAATCCTGGAATCGAAATTTAAGCCTGCCGAATTTAAAAACAGACGCATTGTTCACACGTAAGTCTAGTAGTATTCTAGTTCGACAATTTCAATATATGTAAAATAGAATTGGGAAAATAAAACAACGAATTCCAAATACAATTTCATATATATTGCATGTTAACACAAGTGTGGTACAATTATTATAATAATTACCTATTTATGTACAATCGCCTAACCTAGTATGGTTATATTTGTAAACTTACCGCAGGAAATTACGCTACGAATGCATCGTGATATACATGTCAGAGTGATTGTATTTACTTTAACATTAAGCTAAGTAATTTTATGTACAAATCTTACATAATAAAGCTACGTTCAATACGACCTACAATTAAATAGTATTATATCAGCAAAACCTTTATTAATGTTTAGGGGTTATATTTATAACTTTTTCAGTAATCCTCGTGCGTAAGAGTTCGACGACTGCATTGTTCATAATTAAAATTATTTACAAGACTCTCCGGACGAATCATAGATGGTGCTATCTTTACACCACCAATTTTATAAGTGGCAGAACCTTTTTTGCGATCAGCAGAAGGAAAACAGATGTTTCTTTTCCCGACTTCTCTCCGGAAAGGCGACATTGAAGCCTTGTTTACACTAAAATATTTATCTGTTTATCAAACAAATCGAGAGCTGAATGTTAAGCTTTCATTTTGGGACAGAGGGGTGCCTAGAAACGATGAGAAAATTTAGGAGGTGACGGTACAGGATCTTACGGCACTTTTTCAAGAGATACGTAACCTCATAACCTCAAAGTAATTTTTTTTAATTGTTTTGTTATAACCTTTTTCACTTGAGCGACTTTTTTGGGGATCGGTACAATTTGGAGACAAACTGATTTTGATTATTTTATTATTTTGCCTGTCTCTACACTATTATTGCCAATATAATCGAAATTATTCAATATCCGCCACACACTGAACATAAAAATTAGGTTATGTAATAAAAATACCCGGTACGGCAGCTGTAAGAGTCAATTTCTTTTATGCGTTTAACTCTCCATGTCTTTTACACCGACATAAACACCAGCCGACCAAAATAGTTTTATAAACGCTATATTTCATGCTTCAAACAATTTTTAAATTTCTTTAGGTGTAGCGACCCGTACGAACGCTTAACAGACACTAAACATGCACTAAACGGAACACGGGTCATGGTCCATGATGTGAACGGCGCAATAATGACAAAATGGCCGCTTTGAGGTTATGTAAGTACGTTAATAGGAAAAAAAATTTGTGAAGTTTTGTACCATTACTTTTACGACTAGAATCACTCACTAAATTTTGTTTGCTCACGATTCCCGCACCCCTTTATGGGAAAACCTTGAAATTCGCTTAGTCATCGCAAAACTTGATAGTTATTAACGATTTAAAACGCCTCGTACGAATAAAACGAGAGGCGACACCGGATCCGATCAAATCAAATCGCAATTCGCCTTACGACCCACGAAAAATGTATTTCTTAGAACCTTAAAGTACCGCCTACGTGAAAACCTTAAAACCCTCGCCCCATTTCCTCCGACGTGAACCGGTTACCTCCGAGGAGCCACGCCGCGTCCGAAACGGAACGGAGCCCGTCACAACTCGTCGGAAATAACCGATTCGTTGATTTCTCATACGCTCCGCACGAATAGGGGATACTAAGGTTTGAACTTCACCAGCGGTATGTTCTTGGACTGGAGGCACTTGTCGCAGACCCACTCGGCGTACACCTCCGCCGTCAGCAGCTGGAAGGCCGCCTCCGTCAAGCCGGTGCAACCTCTGAAAACCCACCAAAATCAGACAAGATTGGTACTTCCTTAATATTTTTTACGTACAATTTAATAAAAAATCATAATACCGTCACATGAACTTTTTTGTATTATACCTCAAGCTCTGTGACCCGCAGAAGCCCTTCGAACAACATAAACAAACCCACGAGCTAAACGGTAAAATCGCAAAAGGGAATGTTAAACAGCAATTGTGATGCTATGGTGGCATTTTGTTCACATTCCCCGTACACCAATACCGCAAGAATTAATTCAGCACTACTGTAAATGTGTAGTTTACTGTTTGAAACTGAAATCACTATTCAAGGTGTCAAGTACATAACACGTGACATTTTTTGAGAATTAAGTGAAAGCCCATTGGCAGATCAAGTAATACAAAACATTTCCTTTATTGAGCAAAGATGTAACGTTAGAAAAAGCCACAGAAATAATAGTGTCATGAGCATATTGCATTGCTGGTGCAATATACCGTTTTGAATAGGGAAATAAGTAATTTATATACGATACAAAGTGAGTAGGCCCTAAAACTGACCCTTGTGGTACTCCGTAATAAAAAAGAGGAAAGTAGCCAGTTAGATTACTTTCGAGCTGTCAAAAACCCTTTGTACGTCTATCGACAACATTCTTAAGGCAGCTTTGGATCGAATAGAATTTAACGGTGTGTTGTTAATATGGTATCTGCTGTTCGAAACCGTTCGATTTCCCTTAAAAACTTTAAGAAAAGATATGGCAGTGGCGGCTCGTTGGGGTGGGCAGGGTGATTTCAGAAAAATAAAAGAAAAATGTGTATACATATACCAAAGTAATTTGACCTAATTCTTATAAAATTAAATCTAAACTGCATTATCTCCTTTGAAACTCCCGCTACCAAATTTTAAAATTATAATTTAATCATGATCTCAGCAGGAACCAACATTACATTCGGGCTGGCCCATAGCCGCTGAACTGAGCGACGCTGTCCCTTGCCTGCTTATACGTACCTATGACTAGAGTAATCGGAAACGTAAGTCGTTTACCAATTCCGAATATTTGCGCCACGCCGGGCAAACCCAGCTAAGGCTTTTCGCCAGCGAATGGAAATACACGTATATTTATTTGCTGTAATTTTGTTCTTTAAATGAATTTTTAAACATTAGAACAATTTTTCCCTGGAGAAAGGTATTCCAGAAAACAAATTTTAATAAATGAAATAATAAACCGTTTTATAATAATGTGTAAATCGAGTTAAAAATAAATATTTACGGTGCTATGTTGAATATTCTGTGATAATGATAATTATAATTATTAATTTTTTTTTAACTCGTTGCTGTTAAACTAAATTAAGAATGATTGCGGAGAAATTTTCAATGTTTTAATAGATTCGAGTTTGTAAATCCAATACTTATTTTTTCTTCAAATAATAAAGAAACTGTTAGATATAAAAAAAAACGTTTGTTTCACTTAATACATTTTTTGAATTTCAATCAGCTTTTTAATAAATTATAATATGAGTATACATAAATTGCCTTACGCACCGAAAGCCGTATATTCCTCGAGTACTTACGTATCATCTTGCGATTTGTCATTGTCATTTGTTTATGTTTAACCTATAATTGTAGTGGTGGTTTAGGCAAGTTTTTATTGTTTAATAGTTTGGAGTAAAGCAAAATAGCAAGTGAAATTCGCGAATTGGTGAGTAGCAATGTTAATGTATTGTTAATTTTTTTATTAGATAAAAAATTTAGTACGTTGACTTTCGATGATAAATTATTTATTTCAAAATTAAAACCTACGTCTGACATGAAAAATTTAACAAATAAAAACAATTGCGGAAGTAACGGATCATTTAGTAAAAATTGGTACAATAAATATGAGTGGTTAACAGGCAGTGAAAGCAAAACCAAATTATATTGCTGGAATTGCTTACTATGTAATGAAAAAAGTAAAACACCGTGGAACTATCTAGGATATTCAGATCTGAAACATATTAATGAATCCTTAAAAAAAAAACAAGAGCAATCGAATTAGCATACATATTCATCATTAATATAGAAAATAAATTAGTAAGCGAGTAGAGTGCAATTATTCCTATATGATATTAAGTTACGTGAGAAAAAAAATATTTTGCCCACTCATCTCAAAAAACCAGGAGCCGCCGCTGAGATATGGCATGACATTTGGAAGGTTTTAAGATCTGTACCATTCTGCAACAACTTGACAGATTATTGATGTTATGTTAAACTTTACCTAAAACGAGAAGTATCAAACTAATAATAATTTCAAGCAAATACCAAAAATTTGCAAAAGAAAACACACTCAATAATATCATTTATAAAGATGCTAAAAAGCAGTGGCCCTAAGTGCGTGCCTTGTGGCACAACCAACTTGGATACAAAATTGTCTCTCCGAGAGTTTTATTTTGATCCAGTCTAGAAGAGGACCACACCGAAGTCTCTACATTTCATAACCGCCGGGTCCTGTAAAAACGTCACTCACCTGTGAAACCAGAAGTTGCAGCCGCTCTCGCAGAGGATGGCCTGGTCGTTGTCGTGCACTTCCTTGTGGCACACCCCGCAGGGGTAGATGGGGGGCGCGTTGGGGTTCTGCGAGTTGAACACCATCGGCTGATCCACGGGGTACACTTTACCGGCCGATACCGGCATCGGCTTGGAGTACATGTTGTTCATGGGGGACATGATGAAGTTGTTGTTCATCGGGGGACCTTGAAACGTACAATATCGATGTTTCTTGGGCATACCGTTCAAAACGTCTAATCTTACCTATGGGACCGTTAGGCGTAGACATGGGCATGTTTCCGGGTCCTCCGGGGCCGCCGTGAGGCCCGTGGGGAGGGTGCGGCCCGTGTGGTCCGTGTCCGGGGTGCGGGCCACCCATCGGGGGCCCGTTCATGGGACTATTCATGGCGCCGCCATTCATGGGTCCGGAGTGTCCCATCGGGCTGCCCATGGGGCCGCCACTGCCCGGTCCGGGCCCCGTCAGGGGACCCATTGTGGCGATCGGGCTGTGCATTGGCGGACCTGCAAAAATATTTCCAGGTGAAGAAATATACTTTTTAAAACACCATTCCCGGAAATTACTAAGAAAACTCACCGGTCATGTTCATGTTGGGCCCCATAGGCCCGCCGGGGCCGGGACCGTTGGGGCTGGGCATCATGTGGGGCGGGCCGTGACCCGGACCAGGCCCGGGGCCCATGTGGCTCATCCTGGGCCCGTTCATCATCATGGGATTGTTCATCTGATGAGCGTTGGGGCTGTGCATCATGGGGGAGCCCATGCCCATGGGCGGGTTGGGGCACATCGGCCGGTACATCATGTTGCCCGCCATCACCATGTTGGGGCCGGGACCTGAGATTGTGCGGAATTTTTAAATCGCGTTTGGAAAAATCGAAGAGTGGCCTTCAATTGTTTTGTTGTCAAACACAAGGGATGCTTTTAATTTGTGGGGACTGTTGACGAAATGCAGCCATAGCATCTCATTTATACGCGAAAAAATTATCATTAACAAATCACACCGCAATTGCTCGTTAAAATAGAAATTGAAATTGCTTTTGAATAAAAAACGAGTTTTCAATTATTTGTTTCAAGAAAAAAATCTTTAACATCATAAAAACAAAATTACGTTTAAATTTTGTGACTTTAGAATGACTGTTTATTAAATTCGTAGCAAATTGACCCCCAAACACAGAATTTTTGACAAAGAACTTAAAATTAAAAACCTACAAAATGGTACAGCCACCCTACTTTTTTTTTAAAAAAACACCAAAAAAAAAGTCGACCATCTATAAACAAGCAACTATTACTACATTACCTCCCATTCCCATCGGGGGCCCGCCGGGGTTCCTCGCCATAGTGTTAACGCTGTTGACATTACTGGGGCAGTCGTCGAACGGATTAGATGCCACGATGGTGTCCCCGTAGCCGGAAAGAGGGGGCGGCAGCAAGTCCTGAACGTTAGGGGGAGGTTGGATGGGCGCTTGAGTATTTTTCCTCCTCTTCTTGGTGGTCGGGGCTGCCGGCATGTCGGGGCCCAAGTTTGGCACGTTCAGCCGGAAAGGGGGCATGTGAGACATCTTCGATCAATGTAACGATGACACTTCACATTCAAGCCAATCACTTATAGTATTAATCTAGTTTTTTTTCTATTAATTAACACAGAACTATCACTGATCACTTCGCTTCAGGCTCGACGAGCTTCAACTGGCCATTTTTCGACTTTTTATAGTGGAACACGGGTGCCTTGCTTCGCTTCGACCAATTTCTCACTTCCTTTTTGCTCAAAATGTCCTCCCCGGAAACAGCGACTTCTTTTAGCAAATCCTCCGTAACTTCGTTTACTCCTTTACTATTCTTGGCCCTCTTAGCTGTGGCGTTGTGAACTGCACTTGCTTTATTTTCCGCACTAATTTCTTCCGATAGTTCCAAAAAATGCTTAGATTCAGACAGCAGCTTCACGCCGACCTTTTTGCGCTTCTTACGAGGCACCTCGGGATCTGGCAAATCTGCGAACTTCTTGTCCAACTTTCGATCTAAAATACTAGTGAGCTGTCTGGCAACGTAGTCACGGAACTCCGGGGTTACCTTCAAACTGAAGTGCCCTTCTTCGTTTTTGGTTTTTCGCAGCGAGGGCAGGGGTTTCGTCTGATTGTGTGCGGTAGATTTTGCTAAAAAATGGGCAGTTCGTGCTTTAGTTTACCCCGATTTGTACACAAACATTGCCGCTTACCAGGAGAGTCACTGAACATGGAATCATTTATGAAATTGGAGTCTTGCGCTTCCTTCAGTAAGTCCAAATTTTCCTCATCCGAGCTATCTGAAGTCATTTTTTCACATTACGACGATGAAAAAACATTTATTTTGCCCATGGCTTCCGTCGCAACAAAAATTAAGATTTGCTCGGCTTCTTCTTCGCGTTTTTAGACAACGACTGGTGGCGACATCTCGTGGCCTTCGAGTTTATCGACATTCTGAAGAAAATTGTAAATTATATTAGAATATATTTGTATTGAAAGATACCCAAACTAACCCGAGTTGAGTATTTCTGCAGTAAATAATAAAACAAGTTTATATATTTTAATTTATTTGCCCAAAAGTATTATATTCATTAAAAATTGTTGAAAAGAATTTGTGCCTTTGAAATTACTCAAAGAGAGGGCGCCACCAGTATCTGATTTGGGGCGTGATGTTTATTGTTTCCTTATTTTTAGTAAATTCCATTCAAACTTAAATGAATATCGTTCTTTCATAATTTTATTGAAACAAATATTTCATCAGTTTCATTAGAGAAAATAGTTATTGAAAAAAAAAAGAAAGAAAATAACTCTGGCAGCGACCTCCTTGTTGATTAAGTTCAACTACGCTAACAACAAGGTTAGATTTCTTTGATATCCGACCAGTGGCGCCATCACGGTCTAATTATCGGATCACGTGGCTCACGTAATCGCAATCGGCCACTTTAACGTCCTACTGTCAGTGGAAGGTCACATTTTTTAAAGTCATATTTTTGGTCGATTTTCTAAAAACTGTGCCGCACAATGTTTTCTAGAGTAGTAAGGCCCACTTTGGTATCTGCCAGGAATTTCAGTACCTCAAAACAGGTCAGTATTGCCCCTTTTTTCCTTCCTTTTAAAATTGGTAAGTGGATATCCTTAACATCTTTCACTGAAGGCAATTTCTGAAATAAATACTGCATGTATATCTTTTGCTCTCAATTGGACGTAAACGATTGTTTATTTGCGGGTTATAGCTATTTTTAAACTGCTTTTTTCACCCGATATGGATAAGACCGTATGAAGGTTATTTTTAGACCGCACAGAAAACAATTTACATAACTTTTCCCTGCCGCAGAACAACTACAAGGTGGCGGTATGTGGCGCCGCTGGCGGTATCGGTCAGCCCCTGTCCCTTTTGCTCAAAATCAACCCTTTGGTGTCGGAACTGTCTCTGTACGATATCGTGCACACTCCCGGAGTGGCAGCTGACTTGAGCCACATCGAGACTGCCGCCAAGGTGAAAGGGTGAGAGCGGCACTTTTTTACGTTTTTGAAAACTTGTTAAGTACCGAGTCGCTTTTCTTTTAGATTCAATGGACCTGAAAATCTACTGGAGGCTTTGAAGAATGCCGACGTTATCATCATACCCGCCGGTGTGCCGAGGAAACCAGGTAAGAGAGCGTTTTTCTGTCGATTACGCTGTGTTTTGAAATTCGATTACATAACACCTTTTCGTTGAATAAAAAAATAGATAGAGGCATAACTATTATTTTTGTAAAAAGTATAGAAGTTTTCTAGTATGAGTTATACGATAATCTTCCCTAAAAAAACGTTATTAGTTCAGTCGTTGAAGCTTTTCACCTCTGAATTCTTTGAAACTGAACCGATCGACTTGAAATTTGACAGATAGAGAGAAGGTCAATGAACATTAATGACATAGCGCCGATTGACGCTTCCACCTTGTTGGGGGTTGTCACCCCTTCTCGGGGGTGGAAATTTTTTTTCAAAAATAACGCTGGAAATTGATAATCAAATTTGGAGCAAAAAATATTCGGAGAATTTTTCGAGAAATCAATAGATTTTTAGTTATTCACAATTGAAAACTTGGAATTTTGAGTGAAAAAAAAAATTTTCAAATTATTTTTCGCGAATAACTCAAAAACTACGCATTTTATTAAAAAAAGTGCAATGAACAAAAACGTAGCTTATAAATAAACAAAGAAAATCGTTTTTTAAAAAGTGTACGTTCTATATAAAGGAAATATAGTTAGTGGAAGGGGACTTGTTTTGGGGGGAATACTCGAATCGATGTATTCAACGTCAAATAACGGAAAAAGGATTAATTTTACTTGTCTACGATCCGGGAGTTTTTTGTAGTGCTCAAAAAGACCTTCAAAATGACCACTTATAAAAGTTAATTAGAGCAAAATTGAAGGAGTTATCGTCAAAAACAGATGGGTTGGTCATATTTTTTTAAGGAAAAATGAGCAGTAAACGCTGTACCATTTCCATCAGAATTAAAATTAATCGTAGACCCTTTACAATTAGTTTTGTTTTAGTGTTTTGCATACGATTCTGAAGTTGGACCGGTTTAGAATGTGTATTTTTTGAATAATGTACGGTAAAAGTTGAAAACGTATTTTTCATTATGCAAAAAAGAATGCCTTATTTATATAAAAACTCTGAAACTTTGAAAGATACGTAAAAAATGATAGACAACAAAAATGTAGCTTTTTTTCAACAAATATTTTGCTTTTTTTTATTCCTATAGCATAAAACATAAAGGAGATATGGCCGCTTGAATGATCCATTTTAGTGAAAAAATAACGACCTGTCTCGAGTCCTTCGATCCTTTCCCTTTAAAAAACGAAGGACGTACAAGGTTTTATATGCAAACAATTTTACAGCTCGTGAAATTATCTTTAAAATGCTTTTTTGTAGGATCAAAGCTTCAAAATTAACCGAGTTATGGTAAAAAAACCAATGACATTTTTTCGGAGCAAAATAGGCTTTCTCATTTTTATATATTATATTATACAAATAAAAGAAGTAAAAAAAAATTAGTGTGATTATTTATATGCAGTGTAGCAATTTTTTTTATGATTGATTATATTTAAAAATCGATTATAATAAAAGTATTTTACATTAACAATGGTAAAAGGGTAGTTTATAAGAGTTTAAAATGGCAAAAGTAAAATATTCTTTCATAAACAATATAAGGGAATTTTTATTTTAAATTATTGCACAATTATAGCGTTCCAAGATTTAAAACGTAATTTTTTATAATTTTTTTAGCACAGGGGTGATTTATAAGGATTGAAAAGTGTTATGAGTTACAAATTCTTTCATAAGCAATGAGGGAATTTTTATTTTAAATAATTGCACCGTTAAAGCATTCCAAGCTTTTAAAAAGTAATTTTTTATCATTTTTGTCAATACAGGGGTGGTTTTTAGGGGTTGAAAGGGAAAAATTCTTTTATTAGCTATAAGGTAACTTTTATTTTAAATAATTGCACGATTTAATCATTCCAAATCTTTAAAAAGTAATTTTTTATCATTATTTTTTGCATAGGGGTAGTTTTTAAGGGTTAAATAAAGGGTCGAAAAGATCAAATATATCATAAAACATGTTCGAGAACATGGAACATTATTTAATCTTTGTGCTTGAACAAGATTTTTATCAATAAAATGCTTAAAACTTAATTTTTTCAATTTTTTTCACTTAGGGGTAGTTTTTACCCCTAAAAAACAAAAAGCGTCAATCGGGCTTATGTCACTTTTGAACTTGAGCCTAAGATGAGCCTTATTCTAAATTTTCATGCAAATCCATGCAGTTTCAAAGAATTCAGAGGTTACAGCTGATTTTCAGCTTCAATGACAACTATATTGTAGGTGAAATTTTTTAAATGTTTCCTGCATGGAATTTAAAAATTAAATAAATTGTTATTAACGTGACAAGCTTTAAATTGTACTATAAATAAAATTGTATTGTTTACGGAGTGAAATCTCTGCACATCACTTAGAGATGATTAGATATGTTTTATCTATTGCATAATAAATTTATAAAAAGGGGGTATAGTAATAGATTGTCCTTATCGAACTAACTTTATGTATAAATGTTATCATAAAACGTGATAAAACGTTAATGGGAATTATTTATTAATTTAATTGTGATAACGATTTTGTAATACAAAGAACAGTTGTGCCGGCAGATCTGCCGTTATACCGGATGGTTCGTAAATGAACTGAGACGGGGCAGATTCATTTAAGTAATTCCGAAATAGGGTATTTTAAAATAACTTATTCAAAATTACTCTATTGTCGTCACTGTCTTGTATAGAGTCACTGTAGCTCGCGCCAGGCTCGAATGCTACGGTTTGACACACAATTAAAAATGCAGAAGTGGCTAAAATGAACCACAGTATTTTTTTATTGACAATATAAGTCTTCACCTTCAATCTCTGTAAGAATGGATGCTGTAGCACTTAAATAGCGGCCTGTGGAATTTTTAGAAAAAAAAAAAATTCTCTGCTTCAGAAGGTCATAGAGCAACATTTTAGTTTTGTAGAAATGATCACTCATATCGGTATTCTCGAGATCTGATAACGTTTTTCGTACGACTCGCACTTTTCACGTGCCCTGACCACCTGTGGTTGATTGTAGGCATGACCAGGGACGATCTGTTCAACACCAACGCGGGAATTGTCCGTGATCTCGCCAAAGCAGCGGCCGAGGCTGCCCCCAAGGCCCTCATCGGCATCATCACCAACCCCGTCAACTCGGCGGTGCCCATCGCCTGTGAGGTGCTGAAGAAGGTAGGTCACATCACTCGAAACGTTCCGTTTCGAATTACAACGTAGTTTGTCAGAAAGAAAATTTGTCTCTGGACAAACATTAGAACAGACAAAATCTTTTTCACTTCAGGCGGGCAAATTAGACCCCAAACGCATCTTCGGCATCTCCACCTTAGATATCGTCCGTGCCAACACCTTCATCGCCGAGGCCAAGGGGCTCAACCCCAAGGACGTCAACGTACCCGTCATCGGGGGACACTCCGGCGTCACCATCATCCCCCTGATCTCCAGGTCCACCCCGTCAGTCAGCTTCCCACAGGAACAGCTGAAAGCGTTGACCACCAGGATCCAGGAGGCCGGCACGGAGGTAAGCGGGTCATTGTTTTATATTTTATAGGTTACTCGTCTCCTCAACGTTGTGCATGTCCCGTTTCTCGAGCCTTTTGAACAGCATAAAGGAAGCTACGAACTGGAAGGTGAAATCGTGAAGGAAAAATGCACACCGGTCAATTGCGATGCTATGACAGCATTTCGACAACATTTCCCGTACATTAATTCATCGCTTCTTATATTCCTAGTCTTATTCAAATTGTTTAAAATGATTTTTAAGTCATTTTCAAGGTTCTGAAAAACAGTTCTTTGAAAAATTTTGTTTGGTATCGGTTTAAAAGAAAAAAACTACCCTATATACTGATAGTACCTCCTACCGCTTCCAGGTGGTGAAGGCGAAAGCGGGCGCGGGTTCCGCCACCCTCTCCATGGCCTATGCCGGCGCCAGGTTCGCTAACTCGCTGCTCCGCGGTCTCAAGGGGGAGCCCAACGTCATCGAACCCGCCTACGTCATCTCGGACGTGACGGAAGCCCCCTACTTCTCCACACCGCTGATCCTGGGCAAGAACGGTATCGAGAAGAACCTGGGATTAGGCACGTTGAGCGACTTCGAGAAGGACCTTCTCAAAGCCGCCATTCCCGAACTGAAGAAGAATATCGAGGCCGGCGTGAAGTTCGCTAACCAGTGAGAGGGGTTTTAAGGCTATTTTCTGTCTTCGTTTGAGGGGGGGGAGTAAAGGCAAAGTCTAGTCTTTGTACGATAATTTTACTGTTAAGGTCAAAAAGCTGTTCCGTTTTTTTTTTAAGCTGTAAAAAACGTTGCATTGTTTCTCTTTTTAGTTTACTTGCAGTGCATTTTTTTTTAAGTGATTTACGACATCCGTTTTGGTTCTTCTTTTTGTAAAATAGCGAGAATGTATTACTATGTAAATTGTGAAGTCAAAAATATAACTTTCTAGTAATTTTTCTTGTGTTTTGATTGTAACGTTGAAGATTATCCGAGATTCTATCTTTTGTTTCTTGATATTGTAGAAAGAAAAGCAGTTTTAGTAAATAAATGTTGAACATAACCCGGAAAGTGAGGTTAGAATTCTGTTCCTGTTAATGAACAAATAAACAAATCCAGTTGTAGAAACAATTATTAGTTTTTTTTATTTTTAAAACAAAAAAAGATTAAAGGGCCTTAGTTTTGAAAAAAAAAACAAAAAAATTACTTTGAATTTCTTCAGCAGTCCATGAAAAAAATTTTCTATAATTTTATTATTTTTACGAAAAAGTTTATTTAACATGTGTTTGTGAATTCTATAAGGACATATTTATTCTAAATTAACATCTGCTGCAATTAAACTGGTTTAAATTGGCGACACAGAGCTCTTATTATGCTAATGTTTGGCTTGGAGTATTCGGTGACGTCATACAAGCTCGGCGTTACACATATCGTTCGCGAAAAATCGCCTGAAATGAACGGTACATATGATATGACATTTTAGAGTTCTTGAAGTCTGTGTTCTGTGACTTCTGTGGTTTCTCAAATGTTACAAAGTTTTCGTCAGGCTCGACTAACGCGGCATTTTAAATTTACTTGATTTAAAAAAGCATTTAAAGTGTAATAAAGAACAGAATTGCATTTAATAAAACTTGCTTGTGAAAAGTTTATTAGAAAAAACTTTAATCATTCGCAAACGTGTGATTAAATTGTTTTTTTAACAAAAAACCTGCAATCTGAAAGTGATAAAATGGTAATAGTTACAAGTTCTTTAATGAACTGTATGAACAATAGTGCGTTGCTGTACTCCTGTGAGATTCTGAAACATTGTGGGTTGAAGTGTGAAGTGATCTGGTAAGTAAACCTTTCTAATCTATTATCTACATGTATGGCATTTTTATGTATTTCGAAATTGTCTAGGTAGGTATTTAGGTGTATTTTGAGATGCATATGTATTTACAGGCGCTTTAAAATTTTTGAAGGATATTGAAATATGCACAGAGATCCAGAATGATTGAAGCGTTTGGGGAACGCAGCCTTTTTCTAACACCATATTTAGCATATAAAATTATAAAAATACCTAACCACAATCACGCTGGTCGCTCCACAAGAGCAAGAAGCTAAGAAGGTTATTAAAAGTGACGTCTTTGTTTTTCTGTCTGTGTTCTGTTTATATTTAAAAGAAGATTGTTGCAGAGTAATGACTGATATTAAGACAATTTCGTGTGGGTTTTGCCTTAAAACTGTAACCGATAAAAGTTTTGAAGTGATAGACAACAGTATCAGAGACATTCTAGATGTCCTTTTGCTGAAATTGGTAAGTCAGTGAAATATAATTACATTACGTCTTAACAGTCTCCAGTGTAAGGAAACTTTTAGTATTTCATTGTTATTTTCCCCTACACTTATTTTCTTTCTATTTAAAGTTGTATATTTTTCAGAAATTTGATAACGAGAGCAAAGAGGTTATATGTAACGTTTGCAGAAGAAAGTTAAATGCGGCGTCAGAATTTAAGTCGACTTGTCTGCATACCGATAATACAATTATTCCTTATGTGGATAGTGAAAAAATGTTACAGCTTGACCTAAGAGAAGTATACATGCAGGAAAAGAAAACCGAGTTAGTTGACATTTCTTGCAGTCAGAAAATATGTCGATTGTGTATGCACACAGTAGACAGTGAGTTTAGGTGCATAGGTGAAGAGGAACTTGAAGCTATTGAGAAATTGGCTCCTGAAATGGTATCAATGATATTAAATAGTTAAATTTTTCACAATTTAATGAAACTACTTTGCAGAATATAAATATCGTCAAAGATCCCATTGTTTGTAAGCCATGCTTTGATTCTCTGCGTACTCACAACAGTTTCTTAAATGATTGCTCAGAGGTAGAAGAAAAATTTGAAAGTATTTTTGAGACTTCAGCTACAGAAAGTCAAATAGATACGTCTCAACTTGATTTATTCGTTAAAACTGAAAACTCGGATAAGGAATTCGATATCAACGAGATGAAAATATCGATCAAAGCTGAATGTGTCGACATAAAATCGGAAGATGAGGAAAGGAGGTAAGAGGAGACTATTTTAACATTAATTTAAAAAAATGGCAGCCCATGGTTCTGATGTATTGTGATTTATATTATGATTAAATCTGGTCTGGTGATAAACTAATTATAACAAATTATGAGATTATGTCGTTTATAAGAAAATACAGTGAAAATACAGTGGGGGGGTATACAACTTTTTGCAATTAATTTTTAAATTGACATTTGAAAACAAAGTGGAAATGGCACTCAAAAAAAATTGTGAAGATTGTAAAAAATCTATTTCCGAAAAGAATTTAAAAAAATTTTTTCACAAAAATTTTTTTTTTTCTTTTTTTCTCATGACAATTTTTGATGGAGAAAAAGGTAATTATTTGGTATAGTGGCACCCTCCCAAATCTTCACAAAATTTTGTCTACCCCCTTATTTTCGATGTTGCCGAACAAAAATCTGAAGTTATTTTTGTGCGGTCAAACCTAGTTTTCGAGAAAAAAATTTTTCAAAATTCAAACCTGGATATTTCAGATAACACTACGTAGAACTCTATTTTTTATGTAGCTTTCAGAACAGCTGTTAGGAACAATTAACACTGTTCACGAAACACATTTTTGCAAATTTCAAGTACAGATGAAAATTTTGTAGTTTGAATCCGCCATTTGTAATTCGTGATGACAACATTGAGTTCCCCCACTCTCATTCATCTCTGTTCATCATAAAGTTACTATAATTTTATTTATTAAATACATATTTTTTTAGTTCACATTTGGGAAAATGTGTTTCTTAAACAATATTGTTTATTACAGATGTTCTGAAAGCTATATAAAATATACAGAGTTCTACGTAGTGTTATCTGAAATATCCAGGTTAGAATTTTGAAAAAATTTTTTCTCAAAAACTAGGTTCGACTGCGCAAAAAAAAACTTCAGATTCATATTCAGCACCATCGAAAATAGGGGGGTAGACAAAATTTCGTGAATATTGGAGAGGGTGCCACTATAGTAAATAATTACCGAGAAAAATATAGATTTTTGTGACATTTTCAATTTAAAAAAATGATTTAAAGATGCAAAATTCGTCCTATAATTGATTTTTCACAATGAAAGAAAAATCTCTGTCTTTTGAACTCTTGACAGTTTTTTTTAATTACTTTGAGGTTAAAAAAACGCAAATATCTTCAATATCAATTTCAGGTTTAACAAATTCCTCAAATATGCAATTTTTTAATCAAGTTTCTTGCATTGAAGAAACAAAATTTTGATCAAAAAACGATAAACTTTACAAAACTGCTTATATTTTCTGTGCCGTCATTAGTTCCCAAGTAATTACTTATCAAAGCCAAAAAAGTTGGATTTCTTATGATTTCTTAAAGGTGGTTAACGATAAAAAAATTCTATTTTCATATCCTCAAACTAGAAACTTCAAGGTTCAGTTTGCTCTTTTTTATTGCTTTGATGATTTTTCATGAAGTTACAGCCATTTGCAAGTCACCTATAAATTTAAGATTTTATTTTTATCCTTTAATTTTTATCACTAGTATATTAAAATATGTGATAAGGTAAAAAACAAAAACTAAATAACGTTGACAAACAAAAAAAAAAGGTGATATACTGGGCATTATTATTTGGTTAAAATTTAATAAATTTATTAATAGTGCTGTTGTAGATTATATTTAAATTATCTGTATCTGACTTTGTTTATGGATTTATTGTGTGATTTTATACATAGCATCTCGCAAATGCCTTTTCTGATAATTAAATACATTATCAAAGATCTGAATCGATTCATCATTAAAGTTAAAATTATGCTATCAGTACTAAGGTTGATTCAATTATTGTTATAGCCCCTTAAAATTAATATCTGATTTTCAAAACTATGCTGTATATGCAAATTTTTTCAGCGACACGCCACTTCATACCTCCGATATTGTACCATTCGAGGAGAGTGACTGTAAAGATGAAGAAGAGGATGGATGTAAACATGAGAATGGATCAGAAGTGAAAACCAGGCAAGAGCGTAAAGTATTGTACAAATGTGATAAATGTATTTACGAAACTGAAAATGAGATCCGTGTTACGGCACACTGTGCGAGCCATGAGAACGATTTGGAAGCTTATGAATGTGAATCGTGTGAGTACGAAACTGAGAATAAGAAATTACTTCAGAAGCACCTGTTGAGGCATAAAGACCCTCCACAGGTTCAAACATACAGGTGTAACTACTGCGAGTACAAAACTAAATACAACAGTCATATCAAACAGCATCAACTGATACATAAAGATCCTTCGCAGGTTCAAATGTACCAGTGTAACGACTGCGATTTCGAAACTAAATACAGGGGATATCTTGAAAAGCATCAATTGAAACATAAAGATCCTTCACAGGTTGAAATGTACAGGTGTCATGATTGCGATTATGAAACTAAATACAAGAGTTATTTCAAACAGCATCAACTGAAACATAAAGATCCTTCGCAGGTTCAAATGTACGGGTGTAACAACTGCGATTACAAAACTAGATACAACAGTCATTTCAAACAGCATCAACTGAAACATAAAGATCCTTCACAGGTTCAGATGTACAGGTGTCAGAATTGCGATTATGAAACTAAATACAAGAGTTATTTCAAACAGCATCAACTGAAACATAAAGATTCTTCGCTGGTTCAAATTTACGGGTGTGACAACTGCGATTACAAAACTAGATACAAAAGGCATTTCAAACAGCATCAACTGAAACATAAGGATCCTTCACAGGTTCAAATGTACAGGTGTCACGATTGCGATTATGAAACTAAATTCAAGAGTTATTTGAAACAGCATCAACTGAAACATAAAGATCCTTCGCAGTTTGAAATGTACAGATGTAAGGACTGCGATTACAAAACTAGACACAGCAGTCATTTCAAACAGCATCAACTTAAACATAAAGATCCTTCGC